AGGTACCGATTATATTATGACGTCATTATGTCGTGATGTATTCTGAATTCTCCCTGAAAATCCATCTGAAACGTGTGGTTGTCTTTGAAAAAGGTACAGTAAACTACGTTTATAACGAACACCTTATAACGAACTTATTGTTTTGTCCCGACCATTTGCCGTACATATGCTGTATATGCTTATAACGAACTACGGTTATAACGAACTGAAATTAGTGATCCCTTTGGGTTCGTTATAACCGTAGTTTACAGTACGTTATTTCAGTTTCTGATTCTGTATATATACGGTTGTTATGTTCTTTGTTTATTAAATGTCGCCAACTTTTCAACGTATCTTGACTTTATAGACAACTAAATTATAATAGAAAGGTTTTGCAATGAACGAGGTTTGGATGATAAGGGCTCTTTTTGGTGGAAAACTGAACTAACTAATGTAAGTTATGGGACATGTTCAGTTAACCGACAACTGGCCTTTCTTCTCTCTTATCTTCTAAATTTATAACATGATCAAGTCAGGAGAGAAGGGGTCCGAGGTCTCATCTTTTGATCTTCATAATATGTATATTTTGTATTGTTTAATGCCCAAAGCATGCAAGTGTTGATCAAAGTAATTCTCATTCCAAGGAATATACATCTGATTATGTTCTGAATATGTTGCCCATGGCACAAAGCAGCAGGTGTTGTGGTCCAAAACACCTTGTTCAGATCTTACCGTAATTGTCCTTTGGACTATGCATTCAGATGGATTATCATTTAAATCCTATTTGTTTTACACAATTTCTTAATAAGAAATGTACGAGAAATGAATGCCTCAATATTTGTACTGAACCACATGTGGTTCCGATCATCAAACCGGGCTTACATAACTTCTCATTAAATCACAACACAAATTTCATAGGCAAACACAAAGCGACCCATCCATAAAAGTCGCTTTCAGACATTTATATGAGAGTATAAAACTATAGAGGAATTTAATGACATATAACATATGTAATCAATAGTCTGTTGTGTAAGTGCAGAAAGAGCAGGGTTTCACTTGTGGCAGAACACACACACACACACACTAACACACACAGACACACTAACGCGCGCACGCACACACACACACACACACACAAATAACAACATAACAGCAGCAAAGCCATTAGTGTCCCTACTTATGATTCTAATCAGTCGCTGGCTTGTCTTTCATACCAGCGACACCAATAGTCTCCAAATGCATCCCAACCCTGCAAATTCCCATTTGAAGCTTTTACGAATCCAGTATTTTCCCTTCAAATTATACAACCGGACAGGATGCCCCGATGGCGGGCATTGAAGAAACGGGACCCCCGGCTAAGGAAATAACTGTACACACCAGTTCTGGGCGTTCAACCTGAACTCCCCCTTCAACTCTCCACTCCTTTCATGATCAGCACACCTGGCCTAGCACACACAAGTAGCATTGTCATCGGCTTGTCCATCTACCCACTTGCCTTATACAGAGAATCTACACCTCTCAGTGCAAAAGAACCCAACTCCATACCTTGCACAGAATACAAAATTACCGCACACGTGGTCGTTTAGTAGCCATTTACACTACCTGCTGACCAGATTGTAAACCTGTTTGAAACATAATTGTGCGTGTGACAAATACACACACGTGTGACCTTTACCTTGGGTAGAATTTAACCTGGAAAATCTTCTAACCTGAACAGTGATAAGAACACCCAAAACATCATACTAGCCCTCGCGATACCAGGAACAACATTTCGGGATGGCGGGCTAGTGATAATTTCTAAGTCTACGACTGAATATACGACTTGCACTAGACTCAACTCAACTCAAATTCAATTCATCACAGCTGATCGTACAATGAAATATGAAGTACAGTAAACTACGGTTATAACGAACACGCTTATAACGAGCTGACGGATATAACGAACTAACTTTTTAGTCCCGACTATTTGCTGTAGTTATGCTGCATATATGCTTATAACGAACTACTGTTATAACGAACTAAAAATAGTAGTCCCTTTGAGTTCGTTATATCCGTAGTTTACTGTATTGCCTAGTGTGGCAAAGCGACTATGTATACGTTAGACATACGAACCTGTGGTTCTAATGCACTGCTACAAATATGAGCACTGTGTAAATACATTTACATGTAGGCATGAGCTAAGGTAAATGTAAATTTACTTAGGTTTAAATCTGCAGGAATACATAACTACCAACAAACATATAACTATAGTTTATCGTTAAATCTCTATTTGGGGAATATTTGTTTATCATTTAATTAGTAAATGATTTTGTGTAACAAGTTGACGTAATATGACGTCACACGATCATTACACCGCCTCGCCCAGTGTAGATGATGGATATTGGCATATATATATATATATATATATATATATATATACTGCAATGCACGGAGACCGACCGGTGATAGGCGGATAGATGAGACTGACATAGGAGATAGACGGAGAGGCTGTCTGACCATTACATAGGAGTCCACTGGTATGTTGCAGATAGACGGGGAGGCTGTCTGACCATTACATAGGAGTTCACTGGTATGTTGCAGATAGACGGAGAGGCTGTCTGACCATTACATAGGAGTCCACTGGTATGTTGCAGATAGACGGGGAGGCTGTCTGACCATTACATAGGAGTCCACTGGTATGTTGCAGATAGACGGGGAGGCTGTCTGACCATTACATAGGAGTCCACTGGTATGTTGCAGATAGACGGAGAGGCTGTCTGACCATTACATAGGAGTCCACTGGTATGTTGCAGATAGACGGAGAGGCTGTCTGACCATTACATAGGAGTCCACTGGTATGTTGCAGATAGACGGAGAGGCTGTCTGACCATTACATAGGAGTCCACTGGTATGTTGCAGATAGACATAATAAGGGCCTGCAATTGTTGTTTTTTAGGGGAGGTTTTACATTGCTTCAAAACACGCAAGATTATTCTGTGAAATCAAAGACCAAACACTATATATGTATATACATCTATGGCAAAGACGAACGTTTCCTTTTTTCATAACACATGTTTTTCAGGACACGCACACGCACACGCACACGCACACGCATACCCACCCGCACACAGAATTTAAACGGGGGGGGGGGTCAAATATTTGTACAAGTATCACTTGTCCCAAACTTGTATTTTCATGAGTCAAATAAAACTGTTTTCTATAAAAAATATAAATCCAGGGGGTGCAGTTGGCTACGGCACTGGTCAGCCCCCTTCACAGCAAGTCATATATTGTGAATGGACAATGTTTAGGATGCACTGGAAGCATAGTTGATAGAAAAGGGTCATAATTCATTGAGTGTTAACTTACAACACAACATTCTCAACAACACATTATTTGTTACTGCAGATAACTATAATCATGTGATAATGAATGGGCGGACCACAGGCACATAGCATAGTTTAAATAATCTCCTTCTGTCCATGCAATATAATACTAAAGGCTTATAGGTTGTGGTACTATGTGATCAAAAGGGCTAGTGGGAGTGTTGTTGTTGTTGTTAGTATTCATTTTCTATTATTAATAATAATGATAATTATTATTATTATTATTGTTGTTGTTCATGTTCTATGATATTTATTGTGGTTATTATTCATTTTCTACACGTGTTTGGAAGCTATACATCCCATTGGATGTCTCAGAATCTCAGCAAATGTGCCTACTTCACTATTTCAATAGTTCTGGAAACTAAAAACTTAACATAATTGCTTACTTTTCACAACACATTCATGTTTATTGTAAAGCATTTGTTATTTCTCCAAAACCTCAATATACGAATCGTGACATATCAAATGATATGTCTGAGTAAACGGAAATGTTCTCCGTTACCATGGTTACTCTGCATATAAATGCGTTTAATTTTTAGTTTAAACTCCTAAAAGCGAACGTATTAACATTTTACAAAGTTAAAGTAACATTCCAATCACTAACTTAAGTTTGATGTCTAATACAATATTCATGATAGAGATCAAGGTCATCACAGTAGCCGCAGTCACTATTACATCTACAGCTGCCTTGTGTTTGTTTATAAACCAAGTCTTAAAATATTCAAATACCTGTAAACACATCATGTCTAATATCAAAGCAGCCCTGTCCATCCAATTTGACCTAAAGTTTGGTTACTTCAAATCACTGCCTAGACTTCCAAGTTTTCCACAGGCTTTGCAGTGGCCCAGCCATTTCCTTTCGTCGAACAAGGAATAAACAATAATATCCTGCAGCCTTTCACTTTGTGGATACACTTTTTGTATGTGTGCGAACACCTACACATACGTCAACAACATCCCGATAATTTTAATTTGGCGAGGAGTGGAGATGATGTTTACTAGTAAACAATAATAAACACGCAGTGCCTAACGCATAGATTCGCCCCATTCAACTGTCGGTAGATAAACCTACGCACGGGGAGATAAAGCAAAATCGTCGGATATATTTATACCGGGAGTGTAACCCTGCAATAAAACATCTGCTTACTTCCACATAATACGGAAAATGTCAGTGTGTGTATTTGCTAATTAATTGTCATACTCGAATTACATCTGAAGTTCATGCTAAAAGTCACGTGATGTAGACAATGGGCTGAACTAGCCAGTCCCACCACTGCACATTTAAATGACCTGACCCCTCGAACGCGATGTGGTTTTACGCTTGGCTGACCGCGCTGGTCGGGGACTGCTTCTCAATGACAAGACACACATTACGACATTCACCAACGCTTGCTGCTTGACAAAGGCCGTATGCGTAGGACATGTCTGGTGTTTAACAAACCAGCCATTTACTGTTATTAATGAGCAGCAACAGAATGCAACACATGTACACGATGTAGTGATATACCAGCCTGTCGCATATCTCAAGGGTGTTGTTCTTTTAGATATCTTAGACGCTAGGTCATAGAGGGTCACGCGGACTAGCTATGTCAGAGTCAAATATAGATTATATACTGAGGAATACGCATACACACACACATATACAATACTATATACCTTATGTGACGTTCCGTGGCCAGATTTCACATGGCTGGTCCTCTGTCAAGCTGACGTTTTCCGCAACCAGTCTGGGAGAGAATTTTCTTTGTGGGACTGTCAAACGCTGCTCGTAGAGCCTGATTTCCTAGCCTGGATCGGCAGTATGGACTGAGGCAAGCTTGGGGGTTAGGCTTCTTCAAGTTAACTTATAGGAGACTTGCTCGACCATGGTTGGTCTTCTCCTGACAAAGTGACCGATTGTGATCAAGTCTGGCGAGTGAATACTGGTGGTAAACTTTTCTGTGACACGGTAAAGTAACCAGCGGTCAACCGCTGAGCTATGCTCTGGTTCTCGTTCACAGGGCTTTATGCGCCCCCGCCTCAACTTTTCTAGGACTTTCAACCTAAGTAAGTAGACAAATAGAGACGCGAAAGCATCGCTGCACTATACGCAGGGGAGGTAACCGGTACGGTCACCGCATCAATTGTTTCCCAAATCGAGTGAGGTTATTCCATCTGCGCTACGATGACCAAGGATTTTTGTTGTTCGGGGAACGATTTATCTAAAGCTGACAAAACTACTTGGTTTTGTCTTTTCTTGTTTTATTTCGTTCTTAAACTAAGCATGAACCCGTCGCACAATTCCATCGGAAAATGAATGAAATGCAATTTCCCCCCAACCTTTTGTGAGTTTAAAGATAAAAGAACTTCACGTCAAGATGTAGACTTGGTTGAATAAAGCTTTTTTTCAGTTCAGTACATGTCATGGGGATTTCAGATCCACGCACAACACATGATACTGGTTCACGTCATCACAAGACATACAAAATGGAATTAAGTGTGTTCGGTGTGTGTGTGTGTGTGTGTGTGTGTGTGTGTGTGTAAGAGTGAGGGGGGATGGGGTGAGTGTGGGTGGGTGCGTGAGTGAGTCTCTATATACGTGTGTGTGTGTGTGTGTGTGTGTGTGGGGGGGGGGGGGGGGGGGGTATAAGTGTGGGTGAGTGAGTCTGTGTTGGAGTAGGCTCAGTAGGGAGTCTTCATTGCTATGATGTAACATCATGAATCAACAAATGTAAATCGTGAAAATATACGTGTAAAACCGAATAAATATCTAGAAATCTGTTCACAACTGATGAATCCACAAAACTATGTCTGACACTGCATATATATCTTCTGCACATCTTTTCTCGGCTAAATATGCGTCCATAAATAGAAGACTGGATTAATATCTTCTACACATCTAGTCTCGACTGAAGATGCGTCCAAAAATCTAAGGCTGGATAAATACCATCTACACATTTAGTCTCGACTTAATATGCGTCCATAAATAGAAGACTGGTTATATATCTTCCACACATCTTGTCTCGACTGAAGATGCGTCCAGAAATAGAAGACTGGATTAATATCTTCTACACATCTAGTCTCGACTGAACATGCGTCCAAAAATCTAAGGCTGGATAAATACCATCTACACATCTAGTCTCGACTATATATGCGTCCATAAATAGAAGACTGGATTAATATCTTCTACATATCTTGTCTCGACTGAAGATGCGTCCAGAAATCTAAGGCTGCATAAATATCTTCTACACATCTTGTCTCGAGTGAAGATGCGTCCATAACTCTAAGACTGGATAAATATCATCTACACATCTAGTCTCGACTGAACATGCGTCCAAAAATCTAAGGCTGGATAAATACCATCTACACATCTAGTCTCGACTATATATGCGTCCATAAATAGAAGACTGGATTAATATCTTCTACATATCTTGTCTCGACTGAAGATGCGTCCAGAAATCTAAGGCTGCATAAATATCTTCTACACATCTTGTCTCGAGTGAAGATGCGTCCATAACTCTAAGACTGGATAAATATCATCTACACATCTAGTCTCGACTGAACATGCGTCCATAAATCTAAGGCCGGATAAATACCTTCTAGACATCTAGTCTCGACTGGGGAGTACACGAATGTAATCGAAGGCTGGATACATAGATCACTAGTTCACAAGTGTTGGATCGTCTTTATTTACGCGCATTTTACATTCGTTATTGTTAATTAAGTTTAAGTATACAGTGCAAGAATGTAAAATACTAGTATATGCTTCATCTGCATACTTATGGAAACTCCCACACCATACATTTCATAAGTTTCTTAAAATTATATTAAGTGCAACACAACGATCATGTAAGTAACTGTGTGCCAATAAAATCAGAAGTTATAGTTATATTTACATTTATAGTCATAGTTATATTTCAAATATAAATAACAAACAAAAACGACGCTTTCTCATTTGCTGAGATTATTTATTAACATAAAGTGGTGAGTGATGAAAATCTGTTACCTTAAAACTGACATAAGACACGGTTTTAGGTGTATTATATTGCAGTGTTTATACTATCAGACACCATAAATATGACATCAAATTTATATGAGCCCACCACTTGAACATGCAAAAATGTCACGTTCCTAGTCTCAACATTTGAGACATATCGATACATGGATCTAGTCGCGACTGAAAAGGAGTCCACAAAACTTAGTCTGAGACTGGATAAATATGTACAAATATACAGTCACGACTGAAAAGGCATCCACACTACAATGTCTAACATTGGTTGAATATCTACTGAAAAGGCGTCTACACATCTAGCCAAACTGGGGGAAAAAAGAGACTAAGATAGATCTAAGCGTCCACAAGCTTATTCTGAACAGATCTATTCTATTAGTCCTAGGCTTACTATGTAAGTGTCCACATGTCCTTTAGTCTAGATTCAGTAAGTGTCCACATGATATCTATATACTGGCCAAGAATGGTCACTGCCTTGACTGAATTTAAGTTGGTCCCCTAATTTCAAAGATCTGTACAAAATGCTGAAAACAGGAACATTCTGACACCATCGTTCTAAAAATCCAAGTTAGACTACGAATCCCTGTTCTGTGCTGAGATCTGAATTTGAGAATGACGTACGAACTACGATGTTTATAGCCATTTGCGAAGTTTGGAGTTCGAGCATGGAGTGTGAAAGCGGGTTATAAGCTTTTACGTCCAATCGTTGTTATGCATATTTTTTCTGCGTTGCTACCGGAAGTCGTAGCAGCGCCACCTATAAACTCTGAAAGTTTTGATGTTGGTGTTCGTAATATGTAAACGTGGCTGTTATTTTCATATTTTACAAAACTGTTGAGTGGCAATTTTCAGAATCTAAGCTATGACACTTAAGAAAAGAAAACGTGAAAGAAAGGAGCTGTTGTGAGGGCTCGTTGAGTGTCAGGCGGCGACGATGGCTAGCCAATCCCTGTCAGAAAGACAGGAGGATGAAATCCAGGCACTTTTGTCGATTTTTATGGATGATGCCAGTGATCTAAGAGAACAGGATGCGTGGAAGGTACTCAAACTTGTGTATATTCTACAATTCAGCATTCCCGACTGCCATAACATGTCATTACATCAACCTACCTGATAATAAAATTTTGATAGCCAAAGTAAATAATGAGTGTTAACTGCGTCCATCGGTTCTTAGTTCAGTTTTAGTCAGGCATAGGCAATGGTACCGTAACTGCCATTCATCGAACACGGCCTTGTCACCATCACAGTAGAGTCATGCTGCACTGATCTCACCAACTTTGTCATGTTTCTTTAGTCTTTAATACCCTACAGAGAAAATCGAGCTTATTAATTTCTTTGATTTTGCTGTTGATAAATGAAAATATTTTGTCCACACTTAATAATTATGAACAATGTTAGCGACAGCCAGATACACATCATCTTACATGGGCTAGTATGTTTCATATGGTGTGCACAATCAAATAAAGAAGCAATTATGGTCACATTGATAATTTGGATAAATTGGAATACTGTTAAAAGCAGCGTTAAACCCAACTCACTCACTCCAGCAATATCATGGTGGGTGGACACCAGAATTGGGTTCCACTTGTTCCCCACCTCCTGCAGTGCAAATGTAGATGTATATAGAAGTTATGATATGCACTTTGCTCATTGAGCTGAAATAGATTTTAAGGTCAGAAATTCTACGACAGTCCTAGTTTGCACTTAACATTGCTTGATATCACTAAAAGATTACATCTAATGTAAGCATTGTAAAATCTCATTGACAAAGTGGATGTAGATTAATATATTCCAAATCTTACCAAAATACCAGTAATTTTGCTGGAGACAAATAGCAGTAGGACATTTCTATTACATCACCTTTTGATATTCTATGCCATTATCAAATTTAAAAAGAATTTCTAAAGGACATTTTGGATGGCAGTCAGTCAGCTGATATCAACTGATATGAAACCCTCCTTAGTAACTATAGTAAATAGATACAATAGTAATTTTATCTCTTAAACTGTGGCACAGATATATATCATTAACTCATGAAAGGAATTTTGTCAGTCACTCACCGTACATTTTCAAACTTTGCCATACATACAGTCTGCAACTCTAGCTACAAGTCCAAAGCTAGTCTTACTGGCAAGCTCAGCAAAATATAATCGATATATATATCAGAAAAATGTCTGAAATAGTAGACTATTATTATGACATTCATCATCAGGTGCATATTAGGACACCTGAAAAATAAATATGAACATGATCATAATGATACACCAATGAAGACCACTTCAAACAAGGAATACTCTCACCATTTAGGTGATCCATAGTTATGCATGTTATACTAACAGTACAAAAGCTTACTAAATTTTCTCAGGTCCAGCGTCCACCAGAAATCAAACTTACACTGCGCCCTCAGGAAAGCATGGGGGGAGTTGACAGACCAGCATATGCACAGGTGGATCTCATCGTCAGGTGTTCCTGCAGCTACCCAGATGAGTAAGGCAAACATCCTGAGACTTGAAACAGGAGACCACTTCATATTGAAATCAAATTGGTGAAGTCATGTCTGGTCCAATCCCTTATAATTTACCATAAACATGATAAGGGAAGTTAATGATGTTGTCATATATTTTTTGTAATATTTCAAAAGCTTCATCCTATCAGTATCATGTACCCCTCATACTAACTTAGTTAGTACATATAGTAAGAAGGATTGGCAAGGGAAACTGAATTTCTTACACACCTGTGGGTGAGAAACACATTTGAGAAAACTGGTCTTATCTAGTTTGCATCATCATCACCTTGATAATCCACAGACATGGCTGAAATCTTTTTCGTGAAGTGTCACACAAGGTATGAGTAGTAAGCAGGATGAAGTCACTCATAACTGATATGTTAAAAAGCGCCACTGCAATCATGAGAAAAGACAAATATGAATGGATTCAATGCTAAAATGGTGTGTAAGAATAAAATTCCTGCTCCTATGCCTGTCATATACCAGTTATCTGAACTTGTTTCAAAATGTATCTAACTAGCTTTTGTTCATAGATGTGTTTTGAAATGTTTAAGATAAATGGTATCTGACAGACGCTCATGTTGTAATCTCTATATCCCCATCCATGTGCCAAGAGAAAATGGGTTCAGATGGTCAGGCTCGGTGACTTGGTTGATGCATGTCATCGCATCCTTATTGCTTGGATTATCACTGGATTGTCTGGTCCAGACTTGATTTTTTACAGACCGCATCATATAGCGGAATTTTGCTGAGTGTGACTGTAAACAACAAATGAAAAACCTATCTGCAACTTCTTTGTGTGAACATGACTAGTAACTGTTAAGTTATCAATGAAATGTTTTGGGTATAAGTCAATCTCATTAAAACTAGGTCTGGCTCATTAGATAATCACATGATCTTTAGATCTTAATGCTGAGAGGTATCATATGATATTGTAATCATCATTCATATGAATCCCCTCTTTACATATGTTTATCACTAATAGCCCGCCTGACGTTCATCTGGAAAATCCAAAAGGCTTGTCCAACAATCAGCTGTCATCTCTTAGAGAAGAACTAAAATCTCTTTCTAAGAAACTTGTGGGAGAGGTAAGTCAAATGAAATCTACTTGTATAATAATATGTGCCATGATTGTGACAGAGACAAATGCCATGAGGACATTTTCATAACGTTATCAACTTTTGAGAGGATAATCCTCTACACACTGGGCCCTGAGGGAGTAACAGTATATTGAATACCCAAAAGAAAATTGTCAATAGTCAAAACAAAGAACGGACAGTCCAATCAAAATCGTGTAACATAATTGACAGTTGGTTCGTAAACAACACAGAGACTGCTGTGCAGATTTTGGCCAATTGCAGGATTTGCAAAACATGTGAACCATCGACTTACGTTTTCCCAACCTTCCATGTTGTTATTCACGGCTCTCAAATGATTTGATGCACTTCGCAAGGTAAGATCCTGTTTGATTACAATATAGATCTTGATTATTGGTCAGATCACTTTGACTGGGTGCTGCCATTTTGTTTAAAGCAAATGCCAGTGATATGAGAGGTGGAATCTGATTTGTCAATAGGAGGGACATAGATGGGACATTATTTGTAATGGCTACTGGCATTGCTACGATTGAGCCACGAAATTCTAGACAAGTTCACCTAGGTTGGAAACAGGACTTTTTTAGTCAATTAACACCCTTGCCTCGGAATATGGTTCTCCACCATCATGAACATGGTTGCAGGGTTTAATAGACCAGCTTATACCCTTATTAATGAAACCAGGGAACTTGTTGAAATATGACGTACCATTATTTTTATAATGTACTAATATTCATGGTTTCAGCTTGGTGTAGATACTTCTCAATATCATGTTTATGGGTCCAGTGGCTTGGCTGGGTTTGACATAAGCTAATGTCCCAGATCCTCTGAAAGTCTGAAGCACTGAAGTGTTAACATACATGTAAGTCGGTAGTTGTTAATCAACTTAAATTGTCAATGGGGATTTATTTTGATGTTCTAGGTGATGATTCATGAACTAGCTCAGCATGTACAATGGTTCCTCCACACAAACAACAAGCCCCCAACTCAATCTTTCTATGATGAGATGATGGAAAACAAACGTAAACAGGAAGAGATGGTTGCTCAGGAACAGCTGAAAAAGATGGAACTGCAGAGGAGAAAAGAAGAAAAGGAGGCAAGTTTTCATATATAAACATTATGTTCCCCTGCACCTAACACATGTATAACATCTCCAAAACATGTCCATTAGAAGCATTTTAGGATCCAGATTTTCTAATTTTCTCTTAATAGGACAGTATCATGAAATTAATTTTGTGAATGTCAAGACTAAAACAAAATTATTATTATTTTATAATTTATGTGAACAGTATTTCAGTGCAAATCAGGGATTCAAACCCATGATCATGATTATAGGATTCTGACAGCCATTTGCTAGCACCTTAGACAGCTTTGTTACCCATACCCCCGACTGTACGTGAAGAACATGGGCCAAGCATTACAGATGCCAGAAAATCAGTATTGCACAGAATTACGACATTGTTTTTTGTTATATGAGGTTCATTGCACTGGTGTTGCGTTAGTAAGTCATTAGTTAGCCTGGGTATAGCAGGGCTGGGTTTTAAACTATCTGGGTTTGAATTGCCTCTACCATACGTATACACATGATACATAGTATTTACTAACTTCCAACAACATCGAACAGTTTTCCTTAGGTTGTAGTTAATATTCCTCAAATAAACTACTCAGAAAGTTATTCAACTACCTACATTAAGACTAGACATCATAATTTCAGTGTCGTAAGTTTAGCAAATCATCCTTGTCACGACTCTTCTTTTGAAATCAAAAGATTTTAGGGGTCCTGGATTCAAATAATATAGCAGCAAACCACATGGGCCCCAAGATCCCTCCTTTATTTTGAACACTGCACACCTACTACACCAGTCATCTGCCCATGTGAGGTAGGGCAATGGGGTGGCCTATTCTGATGGGCAGAGGTTAACCTTCAGGCCTATTCTAATCTTCTGACAAACTGGAGCTCTTAATAATGTGAGTATTCTGCCTGCTCAGCTGTAAACTGAGCTTATCTGCTCAAGTACAATTAATTTTAATGTCATCTTGATGACCATGTTACACTGAAGGCTTTGATAGACATTTAGAAGTTGGAAGAACATGAAAATTTTCATGGATAACAACTTCTTTTTTTTCCTTTGTGACAACGTTTCAGGACTACTTCTTGCCCCCTCATAAGGTGGCTACTGAATAAGTACCCGGTATATTGAGTTGATATTTATACATTATGATGGGTTTACACCAGGTGGGACTAACAACATGGTAGGGAAGCCTGAAACCTTATACAAAGTGTAAAGAAGTTGTTCTCCCTAAACAGTTTCATGTCTTCATGTTATACTGCAAAGTATATTTAGTAATTCCATCTGTTGAATTTGTTTTAGCGACAAAATATTGAAGATGAAGTTTTGCGAAAACAAGCTGCATTAAGGATTGAGGTCAAGAAAAAAAGAGATGAAATTGAAAAGGTGAGGTTCATGTTCTCTTACTCTTAGTTGTTTTATGTGATTTCTTTTTGCCAAGCGATCAGTCTGGGTTAAGTGATGGCAGTATCAGAAATGACACTTTTGTCCCAGTGTTTTGAGAGATCATAATAGACAACCCTGTGACCTTGCTCATCCAGACTGTAGCGTTCCTGGTAAAATGGTAGGATGAACATATTTTCGAAAAGATTCACAATTCAAGGGTGCAGATTATTGTTGCATTAAAGATATACAATTCTCCATGCATATTCCAACCAGCTCCGCGCTCTTCAGTGCACTCAACTAAAGCACATGCTTACCTAGGACTTCAATACTCGGCTCATGCACAGGTTAACTACTTCTATTTGGCCAGTAAAGATATGTAAAACTCCTAGAATCCAGATGTTCATTTCATATGAGTGCTGTCCTGGTTGTATCTATACTGCTCAAAAGAAGTTAAAGAACACCCGATTTTTTCACATGACTATGGTTAACCTGTCATAGTCATCTTCAAAAAGTGAATGTTCTTTAACTTCTTTTGAGTAGTATATCTCAAGTGTATCATGATTAACGGGTATCTTCTCGATGCAACTGAATTATTATTGTTATTATGGTAATTGCCAGTTTTACAGCAACATTGACAGAGTTGTGGTTTTCAGGACAATAAGAACAACAGCATGTCTGAGCCAACCACCCCTTCTTCCGAAGTATTTTTCTTCTCCCCGATCCAGCCATTGCCTCAGGTGACAGGGAGGGACATGCGGCGGTCATCAGAATCCCCTGTCTCCTCGAGGGAACGACAACAACAGATAAACGGGAACACCAGGAGACAAAGGTAGACATACACATATGTAGAGCATGAGGTCATGCAGTAATATAGAATGATATGTTTGGAAAATAATGACATATTTGTGACATTTTATTGTCTTTACAATGGAATGTATAACGTGTAGAAATATCTCTAACCAGTTCTCGTCTAATTTCTTCAGATGTCAAGATTTCATTTATCATAATGTGTATCATGATACTATTAAGAGGGGGGCATGGGTGGCCCAGTCGTCTAAGGCACCGCGATTCGCTGTGCAGAGTTGCGTCCCTTGGGCACGCCAGAAACCTATGATTGTGGGTCCGAATCCCGCTTTGCCCCAATTAAGTTTCTAGGTTTGTCAGCACCATACCCGTGCTCGTGAGTTTCACCGAAGTGGTAAACGTCTTAGACCTGCATCACTTCGGGCTTTCCTCCCACATTAAGCTGACACGCCGTGATATAACTGGAATAATGTTTAAAGCCGTGTTAAATCCAACTCACTCACTCACTACTATTAAGATTTGTAATGTATCACAATAAAGTGAATCATCATAGGCATAATCTTGGTGACCCACATGAAAATAAGACTTTGTTTTAACGAGTAATTGAGTTACTATACATCCAGCCTGAACTAAATCATTAGAATTGAGATAAGGACAAAGAAAAAGCTATTAGTCTGTAGTATTGGTTATATTCTTGTAACAAAGTGTAAGAGGCAATTTTAGGCTAATTGACGTCACAGATAGTGCCATGAATGCATTGTGTCAAAAACAGGTCTATTGTTTCTGTTCAACATTGACATTAAGTTTGATTAAGTAAGTGTAAACCTTCATCAACAGGAGAACAAGCACACCAAAAAGAACATCAGAAGAAGGAGACAATCGACATAAAACTCCCCCTGGTGGTGTCATGGTGCTGGCGTTTAACACAAAGGGGGAGAGAACTGTTCAGAGGGGAATGTGCCTTGGTAAAATATTTTGAGCTTGTCAGGTTTATGTCGAATGAACACATCATAATGAGGTCATAAAGAGCTATGTTCAAGAGACAAAAGCTAACCATGAAGATGTGGCCATTGCTATTTTTGGATGATAAAAGATTTATTATTACATTTGACAGTTTAATATGTACGAGGGGTGTTCATTAAAGATTTCCCCTAAACCACTTAGGGTTATCATATTTGGTTGAAATTTCACACGTGTAATGATACATGTATCTATGGGTTATGTCTGAATTTGCAGCACCAAACTATTAATCTTACCACTTTTACAGGTGTTATGATCGAGTAGGGTGTGACAATGGAGCCAGTAGAATACCGAGCAGTGATTAGGTTTTTATATTTGAAAGGTCGCACACCAAAAGAAACTTTCGATGAAATGAAAGCGACTTATGGGGAAGATGCCCAATCATATGACGTTGTTAAACACTGGCATCGCCAGTTCAAGTGTGGTCGGACATCTGTGGAAACAGCTGCCATTCCTGGTCGCCCCCATTCAGCCATTGATGAGGACACTATCCATCAAGTGGAGACCGCCATTTTGGCAGACCGACGTATAACTGTTCGCCAGTTAGCACAAGATGTCAAGATCAGTGTAGGGTCTGTGGAAAAAATCATCCATGACAATTTGAACATGCATAAGGTGTCTGCACGAAGGATTCCCAGGTTGCTCACACCTTTCCAAAAGCAGGAACGAGTCAATTGCTCAAAGGATCTTTTGGACATGTGCCAAAAAAAACAGGCAAACTTTTTTGACAGACTTATCACACAGGATGAAACATGGGTCCATCACTGTGATCCTGAGACTAAAGTTCAGTCGATGTAATGGAAGCATGTGGAGTCACCACCCCCAAAGAAGGCACGTGTCCAACCCTCTGCAGGCAAGGTCATGCTCACGGTGTTTTGGGACCAGCACAGAATAGTGATGATGGATTTCTTGGCAAAGGGTACCACAATTACAGGAGCTTATTATGCTTCACTGCTGCGGAAATTGCGGGACGCTATCAAGCTTAAGAGGCATGGCATGCTGACCAAGGGTGTCCGTCTCCTGCAAGACAATGCTCCAGTACACAACTCCGATGTTGCCCAGACAGAAGCGCGGTCCTGTGGCTATGAAATCCTTCCACATCCTCCTTACTCTCCTGACCTTGCACCATCTGACTTCCACCTCATTCCAACCATGAAGTCATTTTTGAAGGGAAAACGTTTCACAGATGATGAAACACTGATTTCTGAAGTCAAGTCCTGGTTTGAGACACAAAATGAGGGCTTTTACAAGCGAGGTCTCCATAGTTGCATAAAACGATGGGAGAAGTGTGTAACTCTTGGTGGTTCCTATGTGGAGAAAGACTAATACCTATGCCAAGTTTCATTCCACTAGGTCCATCGGAAGTGGGTCAGGGGAAATCGTTAATGAATACCCCTCGTATGTGTCACTGATTTTTAAGCATGTGTAAATTTAGTGTACCACCAAGAGTCAAAATTTGCTTTTTTAGTTTCATAGTTTCATTACATGTTCCTGCTGAGCTTCTCCTGCAAGCAAAGTATGATATGTTTCTGTTTAGTCTTTGATTAATTTTTTTAACATGAATTGATAAATTGTCTTGAACAAGTCGTCTCTAACCACAGAGCACAACCCAAATGGCAGTACACTGTATGCGGGAATGGACACCAATACAGGGACTTTGGTTTCAATATGTGAATGGGTGCTGAAATGGAGGCATTTTGCTAACAAGACGAGTCATATAGATATTGAAGAAGATAAGGATGCCACTACTTACATGAAACAAGTATGTACATCAAAAATAATTCTTGAACGTCAGCTTGTTTGTATGCCAGTAGAGCACGGGTGGCCTAGTTGTCTAAGGCGCCACAATTCACTGTGCAGAGTTGCGTACCTTGGGCATGCCAGAAACCTATGATTATGGGTTCGAATCCCGGTTCGCCCTGATTATGTTTCTAGGTTTGTCAGCACCATACCCATGCTCGTGGGTTTCACCGAAGTGGTAAACGTCTGAGACCTGCATCACTTCGGGCTTTCCTCCCACATTAAGCTGACACGCCGTGATATGACTGGAATACTGTTAAAAGCGGAGTTAAACCCAACTCACTCACTGTATGCCAGTAAGTGTTCAGTTAGCACGTAATTGTGTTAGAAACATTGTCTCTCTTCCATTTTACCAAGGAAGTGCATTGTGGAGAGCACCCCATGGTGTTTCATGCTGTTGTTAGAGCAGAGTCATGATGTTCTGGTGCTTACAGTGTAGGGTCTGTTGTTCATGATATCAACCACAGGTTTGCCTAGACTTGTTTGTTTACAGGCAGTTGTGATGTTCAAATAGTCCTGACATTCACTCACTCACTCACTCTTTTGAAAGAAGTGTAATGACAGTGGACCTTATATTGAATACCCTTCAGGATGAAATTTGTTATAGTTAAATACCGCTCTTCAAACATAAGATGTCAAAGTCAAATGACTGGGAATGTTCAATAAATTGCAATATGTAGTAAGTAAGACCACCAGCAACCAGGTCTCCCATCTTGTGTTTGCAGATTCACAGCATCGAGCAGGAACTCATGTCTCTCATCCGCCTGCATCACCCGAACCTTGTTAACTACCTGGCCATGCGATATCAGCAGGACCCTGGGAAAATCACTGTACATGTAAGTGGAGGGTGTGTCTGTCTTACCTGGGGCAGGGGTGGGATAGAGGGATCACTGTACATGTAGGTGGAGGTTGTGTCTGTCTTACCTGGGAGAGGGGAGGCATAGAGGGGATCACTGTACATGTAAGTGGAGGTTGTGTCTGTCTTACCTGGGGGAGGGGTGGGATAGAGGGGTCACTGTACATGTAGGTGGAGGTTGTGTCTGTCTCACCTGGGGGAGGGGTGGGATAGAGGGGATCACTGTACATGTAGGTGGAGGTTGTGTCTGTCTTACCTGGGAGAGGGGAGGCATAGAGGGGATCACTGTACATGTAGGTGGAGGTTGTGTCTGTCTTACCTGGGGCAGGGGTGGGATAGAGGGATCACTGTACATGTAGGTGGAGGTTGTGTCTGTCTTACCTGGGAGAGGGGAGGCATAGAGGGGATCACTGTACATGTAAGTGGAGGTTGTGTCTGTCTTACCTGGGGGAGGGGTGGGATAGAGGGGTCACTGTACATGTAGGTGGAGGTTGTGTCTGTCTCACCTGGGGGAGGGGTGGGATAGAGGGGATCACTGTACATGTAGGTGGAGGTTGTGTCTGTCTTACCTGGGAGAGGGGAGGCATAGAGGGGATCACTGTACATGTAGGTGGAGGTTGTGTCTGTCTTACCTGGGGGAGGGGTGGGATAGAGGGGTCACTGTACATGTAGGTGGAGGTTGTGTCTGTCTCACCTTGGGGAGGGGTGGGATAGAGGGGGTTCACTGTACATGCGGGTGGAGCTTGTGTCTGTCTCACCTTGGGGAGTGGTGGGATAGAGGGGGATCACTGTACATGCGGGTGGAGCTTGTGTCTGTCTCACCTGGGGGAGGGTGGGATAGAGGGGGTTCACTGTACATGCGGGTGGAGGTTGTGTCTGTCTCACCTGGGAGAGGGCTGGGATAGAGGGATCACTGTACATGCGGGTGGAGGGTGTGTCTGTCTCACCTGGGGGAGGGCTGGGATAGAGGGGAGTTCACTGTACATGTAGATGGAGGGTGTGTCTGTCTCACCTGGGGGAGGGGTCGGATAGAGGGATCACTGTACATGTGGGTGGAGGGTGTGTCTGTCTCACCTGGGGGAGGGCTGGGATAGAGGGGGGATCACTACATGTAGGTTGAGCTTGTGTCTGTGTCATCGGGGGAAGGTGTCGGATAGAGGGCATCACTGTACATGTACCAGTACATGGAGGCAATCAGGACACCTGCTACAAAGCTTCATAACCAAGTTCATCAGTGATACCACATTCACTGTTGGTGTGCATTGAGATTAGTGTTATACTGCTTTTTATACCCTCCCATAAAGTAGGAATAGGATATAGGAATTGAGAAACTGTCCCTCCATCCATCACATTTTGTTTTCAAAGTATAACTGAAAAGACCATTCAGTATTTCTGTTACAAACTTTTGCACAGATATAAGTCTAGCCATGAACTGGTGCCTTCCGCTGTTTAGGAATTTTTTAAATCTTAAGTTTCTCTGGTTTTTCTTGACAACAAATTCCCATCAATGAAGGGTTCATTTACAGAGTATGACTCATGGGTCCATGCTCACTTATTAATCAAGTGATGGAAGTGGTCGACTGCTGACTTTTTCACTTTGGGAATTCTCTATCTTTTTTATTTTTCCTGATGTGATTGAAACAAACAAAGCACCCCAGTTTTTGTATCTTTTGATTGCCTCTGTTCCCAGTTTTTGTTTTCAATATCATTGACTCTTTGGAACAAGACCCAGGTCGCTTTTGTTCTCAGGGGTTAAGGTGTTGCACTCAACTGAATGTACCATTGGTGGGAATAGAAGCATTTCTAGCTTGTTGGTGTAGTGCTTAACATACTCTGTACTTCACAAGAGCCTGCCTTGATTCAGATCCTCAGCGAGCTAGCTGGAGGCCATAGTTTGGAGAACTACCTGAAGAAGAACCAAGCTATGCCCATGGAGTTGCTGCGTTCCTACACAGACGAGCTGCTGCTGGCTGTCGAATATCTCCACAACAAGGCAGTTGTACATAAGGACCTTAGGGTAGCCATGCTTCTTCTTAACTCACTCTGTTGAATGACTGATATTATATGGAAAGTCAAGTGTTAAACATGAAATTTGTTCACAAATTATAATTATTCACAAAAAGTCATTTAATAGTGTCTTCTTTCAGAATGTAAAAGAATTTTAGTAAATTAGGAAATTCTGAAGCAGATTGATATACATATGTACATAGAGAAGGGAAGTATCTATTTGACTTTTTTCAAACACTGCAAGCATTACTTCATTTCTTTATTTCACATAATTATTTTAATGCAAGTTTACTTCCATTTTTACTTCAGATCTTATTATTTAGAAATTAGTATCTGAAAAATTGAATTAAGTGCATTTGAAAAATGTTCTGAATAAACTGACATTCCACATGTTCCAATGCCTGAGAACCAAGAATATTCTGCTTTAGCCTAATATATGATACAAGTGTAAGCAGATACCAACAGTTTGTATTTTGCATTGCACTTTCAGGCTTCCAGCGTGTTTGTAGATTTCTCAGGCAAGATCAGACTGGCAGATTTCAGCATCAACAAAAGGTGAAACAATTGATCAATCTATAGCCACTATCGTTCTTTGCAAGTATATGTCTAATGTCTTCTACCAATCCAGTATTGATGTGAAGGCATTAACATCTGGGATGAAACTAGAGTAGTGCAGTGGTAAATGCCTTTCCTGGCTTTGTATTGGGTTCTAATCCTGATATACCTATGATTTGTGGAATGTATCCTTGTCACTGGATAATTGACTCGTGAACTGTGTCAAAAATCTTGTTCACCATGTTTGGAATGTATGGGCATTCTGACATTACCAGAGACAAGATTTGCCCATTGCCTTGTGAGGATATTGGGGCAGGTCTCCAGTATGCTGGGCTTCTCCTGTAAGAGATGAGACTTTTTACCCACTGAATACACAATGCCTTTTTTGATTTTTTCATTTAATGCATGCATTTCTGTACACAAGTTTATTGAAAGTAATTGGGTTTTGAATATTGGGGTGGGTGGGGGTATTTTACACAAATATGCTGCTCTGACCTCAGAAAGTACTAGGATATGTACTTTACTGAGAAAGTGTTAGCCCAAATATAACACCTGATGTTGCCCACTGTGTTTGTCTATCCAGATGTTACGTGCAGTGATGCTGACTCCAGCAATCACAACATTCACTCTCTCTCTATTACAGACTGTCTGACCTGTATGAGACAGTAGAGCAGGCTCGACCAGGTGTTCACTTTCAGGATATACGTCCGTCCGTCATCGGCAAGGGAGGCAAAAAGGCAGACATCTTCCAGCTGGTGAGTCCTGACAGGCTGTGTCAGGGGATGAGGTAGACCTTCTACTCCGAACAATGGAAACACTTCTAAATCCCCCATGCCATTGTTTTACCATTAGACTGACTTGCTCAGGCAAGTTGTTTCATGCCAAGTAGAGAAACCACTTTCTACCCCAAATAATGAAAATACTTCTAAATCTCTCAAGCCATCCCAACATTAAACTGTTTCTTGCTAGTTGTGAGATTAACCTGCTGGGCTACTACGTTTTGAATTAAGGGTGAGTGAGTGAGTATGGTTTTACTCTGCTTTTAGCAATATTCAAGCAATATCATGGTCGGGGACACCAGAAATGGGCTTATCACATTGTACCCATTTAGGGAATCAGACCCGGGTCCTCGGCGTGACGAGCGAACGCTTTAAACACTAGGCTACCCGACTGCTCTTGAATTAAGAGGTTTCGAATTAGAATTTGACCGGTTCCAACGTCTCAGTTTAAAACACAGTTGGTTTATGTCCATTCTGTCATGACAGAATAACAATACTAATAGAAAAAGTGATGAGTAATTTAACATTGGTCGTGTATGATATTTTCATGAGGTTGAATGGTTAATTTCAAGGATATTTAACGAACGTAAAATCAGTTTTTGAAATTGATGACAAATTAAGCTTCACATTTCCATTTCTCTCTTATTTACTCGATTACAAGTTTCCTGTGTTCTGCCGACAGGGCCTGATGGTGCTGTCTCTGGCTGAAGGGCAGCGTGTCCAGGATATACAGCCAGTCATTCCAACCACCCTTCCCGCCCAGCTACATGACTTTCTCACCAAGTTAGTTGTCACTGTTGATATGCATGTATTCTTCTCATTAGGGTAGACACCTTACTGTTCCCGGAGAATTTACAACATCATGGTCATTGCAGTTTGTACCTTGACCTTCCACCATGAGTAAAAGGTGATGGTCAATGTTTTTCCTTGCTACAAATCCTTTGTGTTAGTGCCTATTGTGAGTCAGATATGCTTAACAACTGTAACTGCACCATGAACACCGAGAGAAACTATTCAGAACCCCATGATTACAGTCTGTGAATTTGACAGTTAGAGGCAGCTAAAGAAACCAGGTGGTCGGACCCGACAGCTTTGTTTATGCATGTCATGGTATCCCAATTTCGTAGATAGATGCTCATAATATAAATCACTGGGCTTGATTATTTTTTGACAATTGTCACATTCCTGGAATAATGCTCAGTGCAATATTTAACAACAAACAAACGAACAAGTAACTATGTACCCTGGACGCATTTAAAACCACTCCATTTTAAATCTGATTCAGATGACCCCATGCTAAAGATAGTCGTCCATCAAATTACACTCATGTGCCAGAGATATATTACAGGAAGTTACTGATAGCTGATGTCATTTTCAAAGTTAATAATTATGCCAAAATATTGATCATACAAGTAAGGAGACATAATATGCTGGATGACCATACATGGGGCATAACTGGCACAATGGTTCACGCATATCGTGTAAACCTAATTTAAGAATAAATAAAGTAGACCCTGTCCTGCCTCACATCTGGAAGATTTAGGGAATGAAGTCATCTGATTATTTGCCATGGTGAAGATTGTAACATTTTTAACATCAACTAACTCCTGCATAACAGGTCTGCTAGTCGATCCTGAGTAGCATAAGTATAAAAGGTTTCTATCAGTATTTATGATCAGTTTGCAAGTAGATGTCCATGTGATGTACAGATTCTCATGTGTTTGTCACTATCTTCAGATGCCTCATGCAGGATGAACGTCATCGCTGGTCGGCTAGTCAACTTCTGGACCATAACTTCCTTAAAGAACCATTGCCAGGGACCATTCCTATCAGACCAGCTGACCAGGAACGTTTTCAGAAAGGTGGGGCAACAGGTTGTGTTTCTTATATACAGGAATACTTTCTCACACTATACATTCCCACACACCTGACGACATCACCATACTTAACTCAATGAGAGAAATAGGTTTGAATTTATCACATTTAGTCAGTTGATTTGATTTGATTTAAACATATTTTATTCAGATTGAAATGGATTGGGAACAAGTTATCCAACTTAGGACTCCCTCTCCTCTCAGTTAGGATTTAGTCACTAGTCAGTTTAAACAGACACTGCCAACTGTAAATCATCAGTGTGCAGGTATTTGGCCATCTTGTCTATGAAAAAGATGGCTTACGCACCAGAGATAAGAGCACATGTAAGTATCGTGGTATTTGTAAGATCATGAGCAAGATAATATGATACGTACTGGATTGCACAGTTGGTGTATCGTCCCCGCCCTAGAAGATAGTATTATGATATCTCTTACACAGATACCAAAGAACAGAACCAGAATGAGGATGAGGAGGACAATGGTTGTCTCCCCTATGTGCATGTGACTGCCCTGGAGGCCACCGGACAGTCACGACTCACGGGGGAGTTTGAAATACTCAAGTCACTAGGCAGGGGAGGGTTTGGGGATGTGATCAAAGTGAAGAACAAGTTAGATGGACGGATGTATGCCATCAAACGAATACCCCTCAACCCCAAGAGTAAACAGTTCAACAAGAAGATTACGAGGGAAGTAAAGCTGTTGTCAAGACTCAACCATGAGAATGTTGTCAGGTAAGGTGTTTCCTGTTGGCAGAGTCTGATCCGTTACTGACGGTTATGCCATGTTTGTGGGAAAATTGGGTCTTTGAAAGGTATTTAGAATTTGTTTATGGATAACAGTTCTTTATTGTCATTAATGTCTTGCCCTTAACACCGATCAGTCAGTGCACATAGTTTGAAACTATCTTGGTAAGCACCCCTTTGGTCCTTTGTTTCATAATATGGTCAGTCAGTGTCGTAATGTCATTTCATACAAGTTCCTGCTGTGTTTACCTTTCAGAAAGGAATGGTGTGGGATATATCAGCCATGTTATAGGCAGTCAGTATTCGTATATGTCTCTTGCAATTGAACATTTTCACACGTTTAAGATAGCAATAGTCGAAACATAGCTAGAACCTGTTTGAACACCCATGTGATTAGGCTTTGAAAAATCAGAACAGCTATACTGATGTTAATAAGTTAGGCCAAGCAGCCTTATTATTTCAATATTTTCCTACTGCAATACAATGTTTCCAGATATTACAACTCCTGGATAGAAGTAAGCGAGGAACCAGCTCAGAGTGACACGTCCTCCAGCTACACATCAAAGACAACCGATTCAAGTCAGAAGAAGTCAGCTCCTTCATCTAACAATGAGCAAAACAGTTTCAATGTAACAGATGATATCGAGCGAGAGGCTCCCAAGGCCATTGAAGGGTCCATGGAATGGAGTGTCAGTTTAGCATTTGACACAGCATGTCAGAAGTGTCTTGCCTCTGATTCTGATGATGATGATGAAGATGAGCAAGATGTATTTGGGAAGTCGTTCTTGTAAGTCGTTGCTGCAATAATCTTGTTTGTTTGAAGCAACTGTTAGGGACTAACTCTGAATATCGAAATGACTTTCTGGTTTTCTGATAATGATATGAATACTTATTTGTAGAGATAGATTTTACTTTTGAGCAGCCATAATGGACTAAGGCATTGCAATTTCTTGTGCAGAGTTGTGTCCCTTTACCGTGGAAATGTGTATAATATGCATGAGTCTGCATGAGTCTGGGCGCTCCTCACATATCAGACTCATATCCTATGATATAGCTGGGTTTTTTATACAAGGAATATCATAGTTCTTTAAATGTTTCAGACCAGTTTTGGATAACTCTGACAGTATTGTGTTTGAGACTGATGGTATCAGTGAACCAGCTGTCACAGAATCGGAATTGGTGAGTCTCCAGTGTAGAAGTATCATCATTCATAACATCTAGCACCATACAGGCATAAGGCAAAGAGTAAAATTCAGCCGAGTGCAGTGATTATGTAGGTATTTTTACCTTGAGTCCAGAGGACTCTCAGTAACTCATTTTGGGGGGTCCAAAGCATGAACAAGGGGTCCCAGGCTGGTGAACTGTTCTTGTTTCAACTGATTTTGAAGAATAGTATTGATGTTACGTCAGTGCACATGCTGCTCAGATGAGTATTTGAATGTTAGATTGAAGAATATCAGCTATTGACATGCTTAACTTTGAGTCTATTTTTTACCAGAATAAGATTGTCAGTTATTTTTATGAGCAATCTGTATCAAGTTGGATAACACTTTTTGCATCCTACACGACTCACTATTTAAATATTAGAGTTTGAACATGATCAGGTGTTGTCCTTTCATTGCCTTGATCTAGCTTTAGGCATGTGCTGATGCATCCAAACATCTGTTCCTTGAAACAGGGTAATGCCAGATAATGATTGTTACTGACTGTGCCTTTAATAGTTTAGATCAACCAAATAATGAGACTAATGTTGTGTGTGTACCCTCTACCAATATGTCACTGTTGTCTCTGTAGAGTGTGAAGAACCTCCAGAAACAGGAGACAGCCAGCACCAACACACAGGAGTCCTTGATAGAGATTGTGCCCAAACTGCAGTACCTCTACATACAGGTATGACAACGATGTACTGTTGGATTAGTAAACATGATAGTTAGGGGACATCAATATCATGTACAGTTACCAGTTGTTGTACTATGACGGTATTACCGAACATGTATATATATATCAGGGAGTTTTATGAGTTATGGGGTGGTCAGGTAGCCTAGTGGTTAAAGTGTTCGTTCATCAGGCCGAAGACATGGGTACAATGTGTGAAGCCCATCTCTGGTGTCCCCCGCCGTGATATTGCTGGAATATTTCCAAAAGGGGCATAAAAGCATACTCACTCACTCACTCACTCACTTACTTAATGAGTTCCACCACTAATTTGCCTGACACACGTTCAATTATTTATTTGAAATATTGTAACCTGATGTGTGAAACATTCAGTCGCTCACTCCTATAAATTATACGAAGAAGATCCTATTCCAGTCCTTCCTTCCATGAGTTAGAAGTAAAGGAGACTTTATTAAGTTTCTGATTTTCTAATCCATCTTGGGATTATATGGTATTTGACAACAAGGGAAATGGCTTGTGTACAATGTGGCCACCTATTGTTGTGTACCAGATGGAGTACTGTGAGAAGAGCACCCTGAGGAACTGTATTGATGCCGGCCTGTACCAGGATGTTACCAGGGTCTGGAGGCTCTTCAGGGAGATCGTCGAAGGACTCATTCACATTCACGAACAGGTTGGTTTTGCTCATATAATCTGTTAATAGTGTGGGGCAGTCGGGTAGCCTAGTGGTTAAAGCATTCGCTCGTCACGCCGAAGACCCGGGTTCGATTCCCGACATGGGTACAATGTGTGAAGCCCATTTCTGGTGTCCCCCGCCTTGATATTGCTGGAATATTGCTAAAAGCGGCGTAAAACCATACTCACTTACTCATTCACTCACTCACTCACTCACTCACTCACTCACTCACTCACTCACTGTTAATAGTGTATGCTTACTGTTATGTCTGTGAATGTCATAGGTGTGTGACTGGTAAGTAGCAGCCTTCCTGTGGAAACTCCTTGTGGAAATTCCTCCTGGAAATCCTGGGTTTGAATGGGTTCCTAGAAACATATACTTGCCGTATGACTAAAGTCAGGTATAGTCAAAACCGGGTAGCCAGAATTGATGACTTGGTTGATGCCATTGTACCCAGATGGTGTGGGACATTGCTTATATTATTAACCACTGGTTTGTCTGGTCCAGACTCAACTGATGACAAAACACCATCATATAGCTGGAAGAAGTCTGATGGAAACAGTGGATAGCTGAATTAGCTGAGACTGAAAAACAATATATTACCTATATAAAAAGCCCTGTCAGCAAAACATATCTGCAAGAAGGTGTTCTGTTTCTTATTTTAGACAAAAAGTGAAGTGAGGCACCCTGAGAATGCACAGATAAGAGAAGCCCCTGACCAGTATGTTTAACAATACCTGAGAACAACTTGAAAATATATTCTTGCATTTATATAATACTCACCATCAGCTGAGGACCACACTTTTGAATAAAGATGACTGTTTTGGACCTTAGCCAGTGTTGAGTGGTATATTATGAATCAGCTATAGGTACAGCTCCCCGTGTTTGTCATAAGGAGTACCTGAACTTGGTTCTAAAGGTACAGATGACCTGGTACATCCAGTAGACGAGTTGCTCAGCAGACAGAACGCAGGCTTGTTATTATTGGCAACAAACATTGTGACATAATTAAAGGCTTCACTTGGCAAGTGACTTACCCGTACTTGCAGACAAGCCTCAAGCAAGTTGTCCTTGACTTACTTATTTGGCACCTCAAACAGCACCTATCAAAGCTCACACAATTTGCTCACCTTTGTTACACTGTAACAGTTCATAGGATGTTGTTTGCTATTGCTGAAAACCTCATTCACTCATTCACCTATTCACTGAAATCCATAACCTTACTCACACAAACCTACAATCACACACACACACACACACACACACACACACACACACACACACACACACACACACACACACACACACACACACACACACTTACACTCTCAAACACTCACTCACTCACACACTCATACACACTCATACACACTCATACACACTCATACACTCACTCACTCACTCACTCACTCACTCACTCACTCACTCACTCACTCTTTGTTTCAGGGTATGATACATCGAGACCTGAAACCAGTCAACATCTTCTTGGACTCCAACGATCATGTGAAGATTGGAGATTTTGGTTTAGCGACCACTGATATCATAGCTAAGGTACAAAATGTCAAAACAAGGTTTGGGGTGAATCCTGCTTACTTTGTTGCAGTATGGTTGAGTTCTACTTGTCCCCCAAACTGATGGTTATCATATCCCCTTCTATGTAAGGCTATAGAAATAGTCATAGCCTTCTTCCCTGCATGGATTGTGAAAACCACCCTACCTGACAGGATGTTCTACCTGAGGACAAAACGAAGAAAGGAACACCGAGATAGCACATCCAAGACATATCTTCACACTGTCATGTCCACCTCCTGTACCTGTTCCTCAATTCATTACTGAGAATCAGTTGTTGTTATGTTTAAAGTAACATGCATGTATGTTTTATGTATTTAGTGATGCAATACTATATATAGTCTGGAAGGTAATCACGCACGTTGAGACACCCAACGCTAACACCGTATTCATGCGTGCGTGATTCCCGTGCACCCTTTCGATTTGAGTTGATTGGTTCAACTGTGTCATATGGCCCTGTGACGCAGGGGTAGCATTATGCAGATGGCTGTTTCAATGAATGCTCGTTCCACCAGTGATGAACAGGTCTGGTTGTTGATGAAATATAGTGATAGCTAAATAGACAGATTTTTTATTCATGCACCGCTTGTCTTTAAATGTAATATCCAGTTATGTATAACTGTTTAATAATCTCATACCAACTTTTTGACTGGAGTAGGTCTGATAGTTTTTCAGATATTGTAGTAAACGTCAGTACCTTAAATTACCTTCCAGACTATATACAGTGGTCCCTCGACTTAACGCTCCTCGATGTACCGCTACTCCGGATGCACCGCGGGGTATCTCCAAATATAACATTGGTATTTCACTCAAGTGAAATAACACTTAATGCTGGAACTACTTTCTCTGTGAGACTGTGCTTTTCAGAGTAAGATAATGAACATCATACCAAAAAATACTTCATAAACAGAACATTTGTCTTTTTCCTGTCAAAAAACATGTCTTCATCTTCAAAAACTTGCTTCCAAAGAAGATATTGCATTGTGTGAGATTGCTACAATGAACTTGCATCGAAATCCCTTGCTGACCATTTTGACGTCACATTCAAATGACATCATAACCTTTCTGCCACTGAAGCTGGTTAGCTGAACTTGTCACACTCAAGAACCTGGTTATTACTGTTTACAAACTGACAAAGTTGGAAGAATGATTTTGGACGATAACTAGAATCTCGTTGCTACACCACTCATGAGAATATTAACTTTGCAGGTCTATTTAAAGATAAATATGTTATCTGACAAGAAAAGACAAATATGCTCTATGTATTTCAGAGTGGTTTGTTGGATGCTAGTCTCCCTCAGACATCATACTCTGACACCAATTTCCTCAGCTCATCTCGGTCTGGGAGTCTGGGTGATGGCAACATGACGGGGCAGGTGGGGACAGCTCTTTACGTCAGTCCTGAAGTCATGAGCGGGGGCGACAAGCTTCACTATGATCAGGTCAGTGCTAGCAGGGACACTTCTGTATGTCAGTGATATAATATGTTTTTAATATTGACATAAAGAAAAAAACAAATTAACCATGTTAACATTCCAATACAAAGGTTACACACAATTTTCCCTCACTATAGAAAATGAAAGTGTTTTTTGTTTTCGCTCTACAGAAAGTAGACATCTACAGCCTGGGTATCATCTTCTTCGAGATGTGCTACAAGCCTCTCCCTACAGGCATGGAGAGGGTGAAGATCCTGGGCAGTGTGCGGGGCAACGTTGTCTTCTTCCCCGAGGACTTTGATGAAATAGAGATGGCTAACCAGGTACCCCTTGTCAAGAAGAGAGAGACGGCTATCTACTGGCATGTCCCACAATTACTCTTTGAGAAACTCAAATAAAGGACAGACATCCATGTTTCAGAAAAACTATTAGTTGCGTAATTAAGTTGTATTTAACATAACTGATGGGGGAAAACGATATGTCTGTGCACAGTGCATCATGATTTTATGCGACGATACAATACTTAATATGTTTATTTCTGTATCAATACAAGACGTTACACTTGCTCAAATAAATGACTAACTATTCATTTAATGACCACCACCACCCACCCAAACATTTTTGTCAAATGTCACAAAATGTGATGTAATTAGAGTTTCAAGTTAATTACTAAGAATAGCCTCTACGAACATGTCTACAGCTAACGTTTCCTTTCCTGCTCCAAAATAAAGTAGAACACGGATATAACGAACACGGATATAGCAAACAAACGGATACACCGAACTGTTAAAAAATCCCCGATTTATCTCCTATATAATATCATATAAAACTTACGTATATAACGAACTCTCTACAGCGAACTAATGGATACAGCGAACTGATATCTCATCACCGACAAGCCCATCTATCACTAATAAGTGACGTGTATAGCGAACTGAGAATTCTCACTCAGTGTCGAGTGTCACTGACAATTGGCAGTACGCAATCAGCGGCGAATCAACACAATGGCGGTGAATCAATACAATCAGCGGTGACGGATCAACCTTGTTAAATTTGCATTGTGTTAATCTTACCTGTACATGTAATCTTGTCTGTAAAACAAACATTAAACATATACACTGCCAATACAAGTCAATGCTGCAATTACGTGTATTGTGTGTTTGTCTTATCCAAAATGGCGGATGTTTCCGAGCGAAAACGTGTATAACGAACAACGGATATAACAAACTGATTTCTCTGGTCCCTTGTAGTTCGTTATATCTGTGTTCTACTGTATTTATTGTGAAGAAATTTCCACCCTATTTGAGGTATGGTGATACATATTGTTCCATGACCTATGAATCGGGATACATAACTGTATTGTGACCTTGCTGTATTGTTTCACCCCTAATATCTGAAGGAGTGCAAGTGAATCTCCATCTTGTCATATCACATTTGTGTAAATGCAGTGTCACTTGCGAATACTAAAGTTTCTCGATTTGTTATTCAAGATTATTAAACTGTGAGAAATGTCAGACGCTTGTATTGAGTGGTTGTTTGTTTCCTCGCCAGGCCAGTGTGATGCGGTGGCTGCTCAACCATGACCCTAGTCGGAGGCCCACGTCCAAGGAGCTTCTTCAGTCAGACTACATGCCACCCCCTCAGATGGAGGAGGCGGAGCTTAATGAGATCCTGCGCTCCACAATTGCCAATCCACAGTCCAAGGCCTACCATCGGATGATGGAAGCTGTGTTTGGCCAGCAAGTCTCACCGGCCAGTGACCTCTCTTATGATCTGGAGCTGGTTAAGGTAGGAGGGAAAACTAATTTATTCATTTTTATTTTAAAACATTATGGAGCTTAATTTTGCAAAATGAAAGAAAGTGTAAAATCCTTGTTTCCTTGAAAATCTGCATATTATGAATATCTTCTTCTTTTTCAGGTAAGTATAAAAACATTGCATTTAATCAGAAATGCTCATTTTTCAAATTAATTCTTTCAGGAAATTTACCCCAAATTAATCAAGACAAAAATATTTATGTTTTCTTACTCCCTTATTCTGACATACAAGTATTCACCAGGAAAATCTTTGAAATCATAAGTAATACTGGTCAGTGCTGATAATGCAAACAGACTTATGATGTCCACAGTTTCATATTTAGTTCATTGACAGAAGTAGCTCTGACGCATGTCTGTTGTGTCTTCTCAGGGCATGTTTACCCTGAAGTCCTCCCAGCTGCAGATGTCTGTCCACAATTCTATAGAGCGGGTGTTTGAGCTACATGGCGGGACCAAAGTAGCTACACCTTTCCTCATGCCTCAGTCGGACCTGTACAAGAGCAACGACCAATACGTTCGGCTGATGGACCACAGCGGTGGCCTTATTGGGCTGCCGTATGATCTCAGGGTATGTCCTTAGCTTGACATCAGCTCTTAATAACAAGACTGTCAGGGTTTGACAAGGCCAGTAGTGTAATAGTCCAAAGACTACTTAGAACTTGTAAAGTATACAATAACCTTTCTTGCCCATTTGCCTTTATGTAGATGTTAATACTATGCTAAGAAGGCAGGGAAATGCATGGGGGAAAACAACCAATCTCTAATAATTGACTTGCTAAGTGGCAATGGAAGAGAATGGAGTAGCAGGGTTATTCGTGTGGCAAGTGCGTGGGGGATGCTATGCACATTTATTTGGGTGGTGACCATGGCTGGGATGTGTTCGGGTGAATTGTTTTTTTAGAAGTTTTGTTCAAGCATGGTTCCACATAGGATCGAAAGAAGAAGGATGAAATGCATGGTGTGAAATAGGATAAGTTAAAAAAATTGTTTGCTATCCAAGTCTAGTTTATGTTGCTCAACGACCACCTCCGTGATCTAGTGGATTGAGCATCTACCTGGAGAGAAGAAGGTCTGTGGATCGATTCCCTGCCACATCATACCAAAAAACGATGTTACTTGTAACACTGCCTTGCGCTTGGCATTAAGGGGATAAAACTAGAAGTGGTGGGCTCGGAGTCGGTATGATGTGTCTGAGTGGGGTTTCCATGTTAAAGTGTTAGAAAATGAGGGGGCCATACAAATACATGTACTATAGGAACAAACCTCAAGGACCAAGGACCTCCCTTTATTTTGAACACTAGATAGAACATTGTGAACATGTTTTGAATTTTGTTGGGTCTCAATGTATGTCCAACCTCCAGTGCTAAATGTGATATGTGTTTACTGTTTTTTTGAGTCTGTAACATTTTACTCACAGTATGGAAAGGGAGGAAAACCAGTGCAATACTCACTGGAACTACAAGTTGGAGCCATTCAAATTGTGTGGGTATTTTGGCACATGTCAACATGTGTTAGGCTGGTAGTCTCTCTAAGTTTCTACCGGGGCGGTCGGGTAGCCTAGTGGTTAAAGCGTTCGCTCGTCACGCCGAAGACCCGGGTTCGATTCCCGACATGGGTACAATGTGTGAAGCCCATTTCTGGTGTCCCCCGCCGTGATATTGCTGGAATATTGCTAAAAACGGCGTAAAACCATACTCACTCACTCACTCTAAGTTTCTACCTGTTTCTGAAACTGATTAGGTCTATAGGATAGAACACATGCATGGAAAATGTCAGAAAGTCTGCTATGAGAGCTTATCAAGCACTTGACAAAACTAAAACAAATTCTTTGCAGGTTCCGTTTGCAAGATACATAGCACGGAACAACATCCTGAACCTGAAGAGATTCAGCTTGGAGCGGGTTTTCAGAGAGAAGAAATTCTTTGGCCTGCATCCACGTGAAATGACAGAGTGTGCATTTGACATCATCACTCCAACTCCAGGAAGGTGTGTCCTGTCTCGTGTGTTCTCCCATCTGACATTTGACTATATCATAAGGGAGGCATCTTCCCGAGACACACATGTCCACTAGCCTATATCAAAGCCAAGTTCCAACCCTTGCCAAATCAAGGCCACTTTTCTTAGCTTGACCCTGGCGCCCCCTCAAGTATATCAAGTAGGAGTTGTGCCCCTTGTAATGAAAACGCGATATCCAATCTGCTGTTCTAATCTCGTATTGCTTCACAAAGATGGCGACTACAGTAGGCGACCACCTAGTCGATCAGATAACATAAACATTCGCATTTTCATCCATGACACAAAAAAATAGGCAATCATTGGGGTGTTTAAGAGATGAAAAAGACATATTTGTGTCAACAAACACAGGCAATGGTAAATCACTTTCATACGAAGGTGTACCAGTCGTGGATGTTGATTTTGTGAAATATTCTCTGATTGGACTATCAATATGTGCGATAGTCCAATCATATTTACCACAGGAAAGTGGGCTTGATGTGGAAAGGGTGGAAACAAGACTTTGATAATAAGGCTAGTGGATGCTCTTGCCTCGGGATGTGCAGAGTTGCGTCCCTTGGGCACGCCAGAAACCTATGATTGTGGGTTCGAATCCCGGTTCGCCCCGATTAGTTCTAGGTTTGTGAGCACCATACCTGTGCTCGTGGGTTTCACCGAAGTGGTAAACGTCTGAGACCTGCTTTCCTCCCACATTAAGCTGACACGCCGTGATATAACTGGAATACTGTTAAAAGCGGCGTTAAACCCAACTCACTCACTCACTCACTCACTCACTCACTCACTCACTCACTCTTGCCTCGGGAAGATGTAAGGGAGGGATCCTTGATAGGTTTACTCATAACGATGATACTGAAATCATGTTCCTCCCACATCACTTTTGTTTCCAGTAAAAAATATTTAAATAAGTCCTACCTTCATCTTTTACATTTGAGAAGAATGCGCCTCAAAAAGCATTTTTTATGCAGCCTTAATTACTATTGTCTGAACCCTATTAGTTCTCTCTCTTGATCTCTCACTGTCTTTGTGACTTCAGCTTGATCCCTGATGCTGAGGTGTTGGTGATAGTCCAGCACTGCATCAAGGAGTTCCCTTCACTCCATGTAAGTACTCACAGGTACCATGCTTGGGTTGTATACTCCCCAGGGAGCTGAGAATGAAAATGAAGTACACACTGATCCATTGACTGGGGTAATAATGTAGTGCTTCGCCTTAGGGTGTGAATTTGGCGCATAATAAATATGCATGTTATAATTATTTATACAAAAAACATTCAAGTCTTATATGTTGTGATGAATGTCTCTTCAGGCACATTCAGGGTACAAATGTGAAATTGTCAAGTATCTCTTTTTTTTGTGTTAATTCTTAAGTGACAGAATATGACTACCCTTATCTCAAGATAAACATCATACAAAATTCACAGATAGCATAACTACACGCTGGAAGCCAAGCAATCTATAGAAGTAGTTAATACTGCCATATTCACATACAACATTGTCCACATTACCTGAACGATTGTAAGAAGGCCTTTCATGCTCCATGTTGCCGTGTGTTTGCTCTGCACAGGCCCAGAACTGCTACATCCGGATGAACCACCACTGCCTGCTGAGGGCGGTGCTGCTCCACTGTGGGATCCCGGATGAGAAGCACAAGGCTGTCCTGTCTGTGCTGGCTGAAGTGCAGGTACACAATGAATGACTCATTTGTCACATCCAGGATTCCACAAATACTCAACTATGAAAATATTAAACATCTTAATGTCAATTACACATCTTACATCAACACAATTGTTTTAATGACAAGTAAAATTTCCAGGGTTAAGTTTGTTCATCTATCATTCGTTTTGACACTCACATTCTTAATCTTTGACTAGCCAGTAAAAAATATAAAATGTCCCATTGGCCATGGAACCTTGACATCATGGTTGAATTTATAGTGCGTGGACTGTTGCTTTGCTTGGTTAAGTAATTTTCTGTGAGTTGTGTCCCTTAGTTTCAACAGGATCTTGTGACAGTGGGTTCAAATCCCTCATTCTTCATTATTGTGATCTTGGTTTGTCAGCACCATACGTGTAGGTTTCACCAAAGTTATTAACATCATCTTTCTCATTTCTCCTTCAACATGACATACCGTGATAGAAATAATGTTCCACTGTAACAATCTGGTATAACACTTCTGTTATGCTGTTCAGTTCAACAAGATGGACCGTCAGACAGCCCTGGAGAGCCTGAGTGAGGTGAGCCTGACCGAGTCCAGTCTGGCCACCCTCACTCAGCTGCTGGACCTGGAGGGCCAGTACGGCAAGGTGGCAAGCATCCTCCGCATCATCACCAAGACCAAGGGGCAGGTCCGTGTACAGACAGTCTCTCTTAGACACCTAGTGCTTATAGTTTTTATACCAGTCACCCCCATCCATTCTCCTCTCCTCATCTCTTGCATCAAATTCTCTTCTTAAAGAGTTCCTAAAAGGAATTACTGTATATTACCGGGGTATGGCCGACACCAGATATATGCCGAGCCCTCAGCTCAACTACCCGAATGATACCCAACACACTACCTATGTGATATGCATACAAGAGAGGCCAGCCCCGCAGTTATACCTTGTACATGGCTTTATTTCGGGAACTTTGTGTTAGTAAGTGCAATAAAAATTATCCTTCACCTGGCATAAACAAAATGTATTCAGGTCCTATGACCGTCATAATCAGGAATATACTAAGTTATCAGGCACATGTCATATTGCATTGGCTTCTTTTTATGTGACTGCATTGTAAATAAAACTGCACCTTATACACCTACACAATTTCTAAAGATCATGTTAGTATTTCTCTTTTCAAGGCAAAGTAATTGATTTCCTGTTGATGATTGAATTATCAGTATGGGCTGACCTACGGAACATGCTGTACTGTACTTTAGGACTTTGTTTGATGGATACTTCTAAAGTCATCTTCCTGAGTCAAGGGAGTTAACTGACTTTAAAAGTCCAGTTTCCACCCTTGTCGAACTAGGCTGGAATTCCTGGGCTCGACCGTAGCGCCATCAGTGGTTATTACGAGTTATGTCCCTTCTAAGCCTCTACTATGGACTAATCAGATTCCACCTCTCGTATCACTTGCATTTGCTTCAAACAAAATGGCGGCGTATATTGTGATAAAACGGGTCTTACATAGCGAAGTGCATCAAATCATGTGAGTACCTTGATTAAAGACATGGAAAGACTTGGAAAATATCTGTTGACAACGAGTTGGCGGTGCCAATGCTTTGCAAATCCTGCAATCGACCGAAATCTGAACGACATTTTACGAACCCCGGATTTCGATTTCGGTGCGAGATTTTGATTGGACTATGCATAGACTCGTTAGTCCAGCCAAAATGTAACTCCATAATACCAGCCTAGTTCAGCAAGGGTGGAAACTGGACTTTCATAGTCAGTTAACTCACTTGCCTCGGGAAGATGTCTAAAGTGGGCTTTTCTGACGTTTGTTGTGAAAAGGACTTATATACATTATGTTGTAAGACACTGAGGAACATCAGCCCAGACATTTAGTAAAATTTGCTTTCCTCTCAGATGGAACTATCCAGACCTTGTGAATTAGCATTGCCCTTTGACTATTTCAGTAGCCATGGTTTATCAATCTTGCATGTAATATGTTTCTTGGATCTGGATCTATTTTCATCAAAAATATGGAGGAAAAAAGAAGAAATATTTTGTGTGATCAGTGTTTTCAAAAGTGTAATCAACAACACATATATCAATCAGTTCCTAGCATATTAAGTCTAGAGTTCTGTCCCTTGTCGTGATAGTGTAGCACAATGAGCATCCACTTGGTGAATGGAATTTGGCGCATTATAAATGCACAGATTATTATTATTTCTCATCATGCTCACTATCCATGTTGTTGACAGGCCAGCACATTAGCTAAGCAGGGGCTGCATGAGATGGAAGCTGTGACGACCCATGCTACTTTCATGGGACTCAAACTGCCGGTAAGGATATGTCACTGTTAAAACAGACCATAGAGGAACCTGAACTGACAAACTGCAGAATTATCCTCAACTCTGCAATTAGTACTAGAATTTGTCTGGATTTGCTCAGATGCCAATATTCGACCTCAAGTCTGCAAATAACAGTTCATTTTCTTAATTTGAATTAAAAATTTACCAATTCCTCTGAATGTACAAAAAATCCTGCAAATTGACAAGGATGTCTAGTCCTGGTTCACAAACATGATAACAGTTTGAAATGACTATTTCTCTATTGCTTGTCATAAGTGACGACACAATTGAATCTGTTGGTCAGACTATGTGACTATGTGTTGCCGTACCCTGATGGCGTGGAATGTTGCGGATAATCTCAAACACTCCATCTGGTTCAAATGCGATCACTTCCAGGTATAGGTGTAATATTACTCACTGAACAGGGATTTGTCTAGACGGCTCAAAGGCCATTGTTTGTCCCAAGTCTGCAGCAAATGTCATTAAAATCTCCTAAATTGGAATTAAAATTTTCCCAATTCCATTTTATAAGTTTAGGCTTTATAGAGGCGACTTGTATATCATTGACAAGAGGGCAATTGGTGTGGAAGAGGCATTAATACCTTTGAATTTAGGAAAAAAATATTTTTTTAAATCCAAATTTTGAACAGTTTTGCTTGCCATGGGCATTAAGTTTGGAATCCAAGATACATCCCTGGTGTAGAACACCCAACAAACAAGTGTGTCCCTGTTTCATATCCCAGCTATGTTACTGCAGATTGTGGTGACAGTGGGCCTGATGTACAACCACCTGCAGTACTCAGGGATCATCTTCCAGGTGTTGAGGGATGTCAAGAGGAAGAGGAAGAGTGCTGCAGAGGTGCTGGCCGCAGGGGGGAGATACGACAAGATGGTAGGAGGAGCCGTGTGGCAGCTCACTTGATTACATATATTACTTTTGTGCAGCACCTGTACTCTGGAAACTAAATCCCCATCTCAGTCAAGTTAGCACTAACTCGTTAGGCCTTTCACAGAGAGCTATTCCCATATGATTGGACAACTACAAGAACATGTACACATTGCATGAGGCAGATCTGTAGGTGAAGATTCTGTTCTGGCCACAGTGGAACCTTCAGAACCGCTTTTACATTTCTGTAAATGCTTTTCCTGTAAAGTGCCTGCATGCACCCAAGATGAAATTCAGCGCTTTATGAATAGAATATTGTTGTTGTTGTTGTTGTTGTTGTTTAGTTGTTAATGTTGTTGTTAACATTCTGGGAAATGAAAATAATGACTTTTAAAACATGACATAAACACAACAAAATAATTATTATTACTCATGAGGATAACTTGATCGTGTGTGATAACTTCCCAATATTTGCACATGCTCATTAGTCAATTGAAGCCATATGACATTGCAGTGCTTCATTATTTTAAAAAAATGTGATATCCATTGTTCAGGACGTCACAAATTGATTACATTATGTCATCTGAACTGTCATCTGCCTTCAGTGAAGTTCCTACATGCTTTGACATTCCATATGTTTTTTCTTCATTTGCTCTCTTAAAGTGTCAGTATATAGAATAAACTACTTGAAACTCGTAATTACGGATTATGTGTCCATTGTAAATGAAAGCTGTAAATCGATTGTAAAAAGGCTAGAGATTAACACCATTCATTCACTTGGGGCAGATAATCCAGCTCCTTGGTTGTTCTCTAATTGTGGACAAAACTGCCATTGCAACATATCATTTTCAAAGATGTGTATATATATATATACGTCAACTCATGTGCATCTGTTAGTTGTGCCAGAATCTGTTGATAGTACCAGATTTTGGTACTGGCTTGTCTGGTCCAGACTCGATTATTTACTGACCGCCATCATATAGCTGGAATACTGCTGAGTGCGGCAGTAATCAACAAACAAACCATTACATGGAAACAGATGTAACAACATAAGCATGTTCAGTATCACATTTTGTGTGTTTTCCTGCAGATTCAGCAGTTTGCTTCGCCGCTGCACCCAACATCCCACATCCCATCCGGAGTTGGAGTCAGCATTGCCTTTGAAAAAATTGTGGCTGCAATCACAGAGGATCTGGAGGTGAGTGAGGTGTGATGGAATCACATTCTGTGTAACCATGGTAACCTCTGTAAAGTATAGGCAACAGACTCTTGAATTACTCAGTGGCAGATACCATACAGGCTAACCTACAGATAAGAGGAATTACAGATTGTATATCCAGAGAGAGTTTTAGCAAGGATCTTTCAAAATTAGTTCTAATACTACATTCATTCCGAGATACAGGTAGTGAGGTAATGCTGTACTGACATTGGTCCACTTATGTGCAGCCACCAAGCCCATATGATGTCCTGGTGTGTACCATCGGCTGTAAGCCCATGCTGAAGGAGAGACTGGCTGTAGCCAAGGATTTGTGGTTAGGGAGACTCAAGACACAGGTTCTCTTCGATACCATGCAGGTAAAACACTAGCTTTCAGTCACATTTACTTTTCTTGGGACAAGCTGATAATTATTCTTCCTACCCTAAGTTTTCTAAAAGTAGAAGAAAAGTATTGTGTGAATGATAATATATGCTATGCTTAATATGTTTTCATTTTATTTTTTCAGGAACATTTCTGTTAAATGAAATTAAGTGTAAATCACTGAAAACATGTTATTTTGCCTCCTGTCTTGTAAGATCAGAAAAAAATGGTCTTGCATTATGAGTAATATTTATTATCTGTATATACATAATTCCAGATCTTTTTCTTTTGTTATCTAAAAGTTTATAAAGTTTATTTATCTGAACAATTTCCTTGGGAACAATACTGTTTTGAGTTGTGACTGTAGATGTCATGTTGTACCTGCAGAGCCTGGAGGAGATCAGTGACTACTGCCGGGAGCTGGGCGTCTCCCACATGGTCATCCTGAAGGATGCTGACACTGGATCAGTCAAGGTGAAACATACACACTCATCTCAACCCGTTACGCCCTCAGCTGAATCCCTGTGGGGATTCCGGTTTGGAATTGATCCCCAGCAACCTGAGGCAACTTCATGGATCGAGTGGTCAGGCTCAGTGACTTGGTTGATTGCATGTCATCATACCCTGATGATGTGCATTGTGGCTCATTATTTTGATTACTGGCTTGTCTGGTCCAGACTGGATTATTTACAGACTGCTGTCATATAGCTGGAATATTGCTGAGCAAAGCCATTTATCAAAACGTCCTGCTTTTCCCATTGACTATGACTAATCGCTTGATAGCATCGCAACATGTATATGATGTCACACAGTGGGTGCACAAGGAATGACATATTACAAATGCATTGTGCACCTCGTTGTCGTGTTGTTCTTTGCTAATGTTTATCATATACACCATGGAACAAGCCAATTAAAATTGGAATGTTGTACAAATTGCAGCACAATCTGGCATTCTTTATTGTCAACGTTGTCCTTAAGCGTACTTGGTGTCCCTTGTGCGCACTGACATTCTTTAGTTCACATTGTTCTTTCGTTTGACCTATATTAGTAACATTTAATGCTTTATCCGTAACCTTTAACTATTATTGCATATGTTTGTCCTTTATTGCAACTGATGTATATTTTGACCCATTGACCGCTTTAGTAGATACAGTCTCGGCACATAGCAAGATAAGACACCATCTAATGGAGGGTTGTAATGCTAAGTTTATTTGTGAAGGTACGCAGCATCGAGAAGGATAGGGTGACGGAGAGGAAGGTGCCTATGTCCGAGGTTGTGGACTTTCTGCAGCAGAAGCAACAGTTCACAAAACAGTGAGTCAACTAGTAGGATGCCACTTTGATCGGGTCATTTCACCCACATAGTTGTTTGCCTTTATTTTCAAGGAACCTCACATTTTTTTTGCTTTTTAAGAAAATAATCCTGAAAAATCAAAACTTTAGGCTTAAAAAAATAAAAGATTTGGTTCTCAGGCCAATAACTTTTGAAAATATAGTGCGAGCTGGTGTGTTGGTTTTTTTGGCTTCTTTAAACTAGTATGTAACCAAATAAACAGTTGTATACCATCAACCTGGGAAGGGCCCCCCTACATAAACAAGCATACAAATTCCTATTGCCACCATGACCATAACACAAGATGCGCAGTAAAGCAGGCGCATCTTAAGGGAAGTAACTGCATGCTATATTGGATCACATTGTTTTTAAGTATTAGATTTTTTAGTTTTTCTAAAACATGAAAAGGAAATGTGAGGTGGAATTTATGATGATACGGGTGGTGTCTGAGAACCAAGACTGTTATATACTTTTAGCCTTAAAAGTCTTGATTTTCTGGCATACACAAAACAGTTACCTCATTTTCCTACTGTTCCAACAATTGTGCCTAAATATTTGGTGCTGATAACAGACAATATGTTAACATGAAATGTGTTGCTTTTCTAAGTGAGGTCTACATAGTTGTTCATCATGGACACATAGACAGAGTGCATGCAGCTAGATGCCATGGTACTGTGGTGAGTCATGCAACGTTGCATGTGGGGGAATCCTATATTTCCTGTGCAGAGTTGCTTCCCTTTGGCGGGCCTAGTTTCTATAATCATGAGTTTGAGCCCCAGGATCACACTTATGATGATCCTTGGTTTGTCAACACTGAACCTGTACTCGTTGATTCCCAAAAGAGCTAATGTTTTAGACCTACATCACTCAGGGCATTCCTGCCACATTACGCTGACATGCTGAAATGTCGTTCCATGCAGTGGTGAACTGACTTACTCACTATGTTGCTTGTTCTAGAGAGTCGATGGATATGGCCCCTGGTAATGAAAAGAAGAGTAACACCGGCCAGTCCAGCAACTACTCCGAGACCAATCAGTCCAGCACCAACAGTAGCAGCAACAACATCACCTTCAACTTCCTCTTTGTCATGCAGGAGGGACGCATCACCTCAAACATCAAGAGGAAGTATGAGTCCCAGGTGTGTTAAATATAGCGATCACAAGAAAATGAGATACAGAGCAGCTCTAGAGTGTTTAGCAGCTGTGGAGTGTTCAGAAGCTCGGGAGTGTTTAGTAGCTTGGCATATTAAGAAGAAGAATGTTTGTGACCAGATAGTGCATCATGCTTGTCATGAGAAGTGAGTAGGTATTAGGGGTCTCGGAGAGTAGTTGGATGGGTAACTGCGTTCAGCAGCTTGACTCCTGAGCGTTTCTAGGGCTTCGGTCCTGCCTCAAACTAAAGCTCAAACTAGCGCCTCACAGGGCACTGTGATTGCATGCTCCCCAGGGGGTTGAGAATGAAAATCGAGTACACGCTGACCCATTGACTGGGGTAAAAATGCAGTGTTTTGAGCATGCTTTAGGGTCTGGATTATGGTCATCATTGTACTTGTCTGTGAGTTGGGTGAGTGAGTGAGTGAGTTTGGTTTAACGCCGCTTTTAACAGTATTCCAGTTATATCGCGGCGTGTCAGCTTAATGTGAGAGGAAAGCCCGAAGTGATGCAGGTCTCAGACGTTTATCACTTCGGTGAAACCCACAAGCACGGGTATGGTGCTGACAAACCTAGAAACATAATCGGGGCAAACCGGGATTCGAACCCACAATCATAGGTTTCTGGCATGCCCAAGGGAAGCAACTCCGCACAGCAAATTGCGGCGCCTTAGACGAGTTGGGATGACTCTTGTACACATCCTTCTTGTCATTGCACGGGGGCACATAGTCTAAGCATCCGCAGTTGTTAGAGTGTAGAAAAGCACTCCCTAGGTATACCAGGATCTGATCATGGGTTTGAATCCCAGATTTGGCCTGATTCTGATCCTTGATATGTCGCCAAGATACCGGTGCTCATGGGGCTCACCAAAGTGGTAATCATCTAAGACCCACATCACTTATGGCTTTCCTCCCACATTAAGCTGACACACTGTGATATAACTGAACTATTGTTCAAACCCAACTCACTTACTCTTGTTATAGCACAAATATGGCTGCAGTATAGAAACCATTTGCTAAAACCACACCAGTCATCAATTACAAAGCAGCAAATACTGGAGTTTTGGAGAGTATCTCAATTTGAACAGAATATTCTTGCCAAAGATTTAGTTTGCGTGACAAGCTATCACGTTGTCAGATGTGGATACATCGTGAGTTAAGATGTGTTTGTGTTGTTTCAGATGTTTAACAAACTGTCATCAGCTTTGCATTGGCTACCAGGGAAATCTCACGATGTAATCGTTGTTGAACTGAACAGGGCAGTGCTGAGCATCATAGCAGCGTACCTCGAGGTAGGAAGTAGATACGGGCAGGGTGGGAACACTGTTACCTCATCTTACATGTAAAATATGTCAATGACATTTGGTAACAGCAGTGTCCAACTACATAACATATACCCTGCCATCAAGGACATTTTGCCGATCTCAATAATATCTGCAATTCAAGCTCCTTACAGCATCATGTAATGCATATTAACACTGACTTTAGATGTAAGTGATGCACAGAACACTAACATATATAACTTGTTGTCTGGAACTCACCTGGCAATATGGCAACAAAAAATACTTCACATCTCTTTGTTGTAAATACCAAACTTGGCAGGGTCGGCTTTGGGTACTCGGTTCACAGAGGGTACATCAAACGGTATTCTCCTCGTGAGAAGCCTACTTATAGTATGTCATGCTTCGTGAAGGAGGTAACAGAGTGGGGATATCTCTGGAAGGCATGGTCACTAATGAAGCCAGTTTAACTTAGTGGGTCACCCATGTAAGACATCCTCAATGCTTCTAGATTTGTTGGCACCACGCCATGCTTGTGGGTTTCACCAAATGATTAAAGTCCAAGACCTGCATCACTTCGGGTTTTCCTCCCACATCCAGCTGACACACTGTGATATAACTGGAATATTTTTCAAAGTGAGTTAAACCCAACTCACTCACTCATGTCTTCAGAAACATAAAGTATTGCAACTCAAGATCTAAGTGTCAAGACAATAACTCCCATACTTTGGACTGGGGCTTCATTGATATGAATTGATTGTCATATTAACACTGCATAATGATAATGTTTATATGGAATTGTTTACAGTTAAATGGCAGTGAAGCTGACTTTGATGCAAGCATCAGCTCTGTAATAGAAAAGTAAGTAAAACAAAATCCATCAAGCTAGATTGAATGTGTTTGTACTTACTGCCAAGTGGCACTAGATCTATCTGCTATTTGGAAATTGACCTTTCATGCCTCTTCAGAAAAGATTGTAAAGTGATAACAGTGTTTGAAGTTATTGTTAAGCTTAGGGTTCAGTTTCTTTTGCCTGAGGATTCAAGTCACAGATTTGCTCTAATTTCGATTCTTGTGGTGTTTTTTTCAGCTTCAGTGGATTTCACCAAAATGATAAAATTACCGATGACATAACTTTGGGTTTTCTTGCACATTCACAGACATGATGGACATACTGTCAGCATGGTGAAAGCATTGTTTAAAATCACATGTTCACTCATTCTTCAAAGCTAAAAGGGAAATGCCATTATTGTTGTCATCTGAACTAGATTGTGTAGATAGGGTTTTGATGGCATTATGGTACTTACGTGTATCTCTGATTATTTCCACATGTGACAGAGACAGGTTCATGTTTGGCTGCCATGTTTGTTAACCAAGCATGGTGCTTTCAGTTCAGGTTGTTTTGTTTGGTGGACTTATAGTGTAATGACTGAGCCATGATATTTCCATTGTTTCAGACAACCACGTCACAGGAAATACTTGACAAACATCATGGATGAAATTCATACGCTGAAATTTGAGAAAAGGTAAGTTTGATATCAGTAGGTAGTTAAACAACTTTCACCATTTTGCCCAAATGTGCATAGCCATACACAGCCAGTGCATAGTCTCCTAGCACACAATTACATGTTAATGTATGAGCACAGGAATATAAAGTTCTGTTTAAATTGAAGAAGTTGCATGCTGTTTATATATAAACACAAGGTCATCTCTCAAAATTTGTCATGTTGGATTTCAATAAAAAAAATTAATGCAATCAGAAATAATTTCAAACAGTTTCATTTGACTTTGTAACCATTATATTAAACCCAATCCCACCTGCTATAAGTCTTTATCACACGATTGTCTGTTTTGTCCAAAAATCCACAATGTGATGATGTCACAAACATGTGCAAATGATTTAGTGGTCCATCAAGTGTAAAGTCAAGTGACTTAGCACATTAAATTATCCCACCATGCAACAATTTGGGAGTTTCCTCCATTTTGTTTTGATTAGTTTTATGTCTTTGATTAATAATCGGACCATTGAGTCATTTCAAAAATATTTCTTAGCGATCAGATGTTTTATGAATATACTATATATTATATATGTATATATATACTGTAAATCTTGATATTAACGCGAGCGTGAATTAAATGCGAAAAATTGTAAGAGGTCTTTGCTCGCATTATTAAACATCGCATTTATATCAACAATAAGACATTTTGGATAGCAGAAATACCAACTTAGGCATACGCTGAAAACAAACAACTATGTATTCCACGTCACTGTTTATTGAGCAGCACTTCTTACAAGTAAATAAACAATATCATTCAAACACTAATTACATCCTATGAATTGTCACTGCTGGGGTCAAGGCAAGCGTTCTACTCACTCATGTCATCACTGATCACACCTGCAAGTCCAGACAGATGCCACCCAACACAGTGTCTTTGCTCTTTGCGACTGCATCAAAGGCCGACACGAGCCAGCGCGCATGTATTGTTTTAGCTGAAGTACTCTACTCAGCGCTAATAAGCGGTGCTATTTGGTGTGTGATGTGATTAATGTAAGGTTTGATTAAGGTGAGGATTCTCCTGTAAACCTGACAGGACATTTTGTTTAAATATAAATCCACTGATGCTTGAGAGGAGGGAGTGTCGCATTCATACTGAGTCGCATTTTTGGCTGGGGGCCAGCGGTCCCATTCTTTTGGAGACGCATTGATTTCACATTTTACAGTATTCGATTTTAAGGAATAGAAATTATGACTTACAGGTTAGTGATGTCATTGAAACTTTCCTGTGATTGAAGGCAGGGTCTGTCGTATTCTGAAGGACTGCAATCAGTGTGTTCAGTAGGCAGTATGATTTGTATTGTTACAATACATCAGCTGCCACTGGATGCAGGGCAAGTGAACCCACTTTGTGTGATCATTGCCCGGATTCATATGTGAAATATTTCTATACCCTTTTCATTGATATGCTTAAAGCATGTTACATTGTTGCCAATATATGCTGAAATATATTTGTCAGTTTGAAATGAAATAAACATCAGAAAAAAATAAACATGATTAGGATGCCAGCTGTATTAAATCAAAGCAATTCTTCATACTGTTGTCCTCTGTGTGTTTCAGATGCCAGTTCATCATACTCTACGGGCTGAAGGACGACACGGTCAAACTTGTTTCTTGACACAAACATTAACAGAACAAGTGTCATATGTACAATATTTATTCTTACCAAAGCTAGGGAAATGGAATCCAGTTACCTCTTGGAAAACAACCCTTCTACATTTTTCTCATCCACACCTTGACATTCATTTTTATTTTTCCCATCAAAAAAAAGAAGAAATTAGATCAAGGTAATCACCAACTGTTAGTTTGAACTGACTGATCCAAATCAAAACTGTTGTCTTTTGTTGATTTTTAAGCATGTTAAGCAGGCCTTTAAGCTGCTTTGCTTTTGTTTGAATTATATATGTTTAGTATATGCTTTAATACAAGACGATAGTCCCAGGAAATTATACTGCTCATCTTTTGATAGGGATTTTTGAGTGTCCAGGCTGGGCCTGAATGTGACTGATTGCTTGGAGATGTTGTCCTACAAATAATACTGGTATTCAATATTGCCATTTACCTGACATTTTCTGTAAGAAACACAAACGGACAAGGTAGTATAAAGACACTGTTTAACCACTGGACATAAGGTTCTATACCGAAACATTGTCTTTTCAGTAAATAAAGAAGTTGTTATCCATAAATTATCTCTACTTTGCCACTGGACATGTCAGTTTCAGAAAACTTTTAGACACTGTTCAGACATGTCTACATGGCTGACAAGTAGCCTCTTTTAGCTCACCTTACTGAAAGTCATGTGAGTACATGTCATGGCCTGTTTGCATCATCGCATGAATATCTCAGAAACCACTAGACCAATGAAGCTGAAACTTCACATACATTGTTCCCACCAATAATAACAACCAATTTGTTCAAGAAATTCAATCCACGTCAGCCATATTAAAAAACCTAATTATGGCCATTATTCAGCCATTTTTTTTCAAAATGTAAAGAAATTTGATACATATGTAGTTGCACTCTCCTATGTTCCATGCAACCACCATAGTACCTCTGCCACAGGCCAGCACCATGTGATGATTCGTCACATCTTATACACAATGCATTCAAAATATTGCATATGTTTTTCATCTGTTTCAATTTTTTAAACGTCTACATATCTACATAAACATATGTCATAAAATGCTTAACTTTCATTGAAAAAATACACTAAATTGTGAAAAACTACTTCCATTTGCGTAGTTATCCTATGTTAACATTGGTTGTACGGCTGCAGGTGCTGTCACCGAAGCCCTACGGAGATCACTTTGGTGTGTAAATATACTGAGGGAAACAAACAAGGGAACACCATTTCATTTCATAGCTTGGGAACAAAACCTAGAAAACAATAAAGGAGCACTTGTATTTTCATGTGTTCCCTTATTTGTTTCCCTCAGTATATGTATTGTCATGCAACTCACTGTCGCAGTTGTAGTAGCATATTTATATAATTATGCAAAACAATATGTAAAGCGCCCCTAAATACTTGCATTAGGTCGTTCTATTCTGATGTCTGAAAAAGCGTGTTTGTTTACAAACGAGAAAAGTCTGGTCATCTGATATGCAAATTAGCCTGTGGCAGTGGTGTTATGCTAAGTCACCACTGCGCCGGAGTGTGATGTAGTTAGTAAAGGTGAACACATTCCCATTTTAACAATATTTTAGATTGTAAACTTTAACATCAACCATACTTCATATAGACATTACTTTTAACGTTGATGTTTTTGTGTTCAAACTGTAATGAAACGTGGTGTGTGGGTAGTTAGTAGTCAGGCTCAACACACATTCCGTTTTTGCCTTTTTTCAAATTTTGACCTTGATTTTACCTTTGCTCTTTGACCATGCTTCTAAATTCTCTCACAATGTATTTCTCTCAAACATCAGAAACCACTGAAGCTGAAACTTGTGAAACTTTTCCGAGTCAAATTTATTTTCAGTATGGCCACTGACAGCATCTTTTGTTTAGTGGCTTTGTTGACATTTTAAAACTGTGGACTACATTGCTAGGTGAGCTACAGTGGCATGGCACTACTTTTCTTTCTTATACTTGCAAGTTTTGGACTTCTGACATGATTCACTACATGAACATGGCTAAAATGAGTAAAAAGGACGATTTTTTCTAACTTGAAATGAAAAATCTAAGTATGAACAAGGCTGTCTTATATATGTCCTGTGAAAATCAGGAGTCAAATATTAGAAAACAGTAAGTGATTTTAGAACTACATAACACTTTGATATTTTGGCCGAAGGAAATCTACCCACATTTAAGGTTAATGTCACATTCAAAATAATGACTGGATTTATTTATTGTAATTCAATATCATTTGGGTTGATGAAGGTGAAATCTTCCTTTAGAGCCTCACTTTCGATGTTATAAATATAGACATGTGAAGGTCACATAGTATATAATAAAAGGGGGGTGTTTGCTGCAATCTGATTGGTTGAAAATTCTTGTTAAATAGGATCATAGCATTCTAGTGTGGCATCTTGGAGCGTACTATGGAAGATTACTGATAACTTTTGTATTCTACAATATTGATAAGGGACCGGTCATTTATTATATGGTGGGATGAGTCAGAGGGAATCAGGGAGGGTCATAAAAAGTTTTACACATATTTGGGGAGGGTGATGAAAAAATTGACATTTTATAATAAAATATAAAGTGCTTTTGCATATTGTCTTTTCAGGGTGGGTCATGAAAAAAATGTACAAGGACATGGGGAAGGACATCCAAAACTATGACGAGAATTACAGGAGGGTCATTATTTTCATTACTGCATCAAAAGCCTCTGACCCACCCACCCCTGCAATAAATGACAGGTCCCTAAATATTGTTTCTTCAGATGTCAATAAATATGTTTTCAGAGATGGCCATCACTGCTGGTTCCAAATGAATTGTTCAGGAACTGAATATTTGTGGGGTTATGTTGAAAATACGAACACTTCTCTTGTTAAGTCGGTTGTTATTCGTTACCTGTATATCCAACTTATTTGTTCCTGAAACATAATTGAATGTTTTTATTGCTCAGTTCTTTGTTGTACATGTTGTACAGGACCACAATAGTTACTGATCTGTCAGTTGAGAATTTATCATTATGTTGTTGATGTACTGTGTAATATATTTGCCTCAGTGCAGTGTATAGAACTTGTCTGAATAACTATGTCATGTTTGTTGTCATGAGTCCTGGCAAAAGGGACAAAAGTAAGTAAGACAGGGTAACATTAAATGATAATGGAAAGCAAAAGCAATCTTTGTGTTAAACAGTGTAACAAGTCTGATCCTTTATACAATATGATAACACTGCATGAAGATCTGAGGACAAACTCCTACAGACGTTGCTTCAGGGGCACTTTCTAATCGGCAAACTGGCATCAAGGCTTCTAAAAACTTGGTACATGTGAGTGAAGCATTCAAACAAGCATATCTGATTTCTGATCTTGAAACCAAATATAATCAAGGAGTTCCAAATGCAAAAAGTGAAGTACAGTCAAGTCCCGTTAATCCGACATTGTTGGTTGCATATGATTTTGTCCGATTAACGAGTATGTTGGATAAACGAAATTAGGTATTATCAACATTCGTGAACAAAAATTGGACAAGTACACGATAGATAACAATTCAAACATGTAATAAAAAAAGGAAAAAGGAAATATTCATATTGTTGTGTTACATTGTTCGCGGAATATGTTTTCTAATCATGCAACCTGTAAAGTTTAACACAAAACTACTGTTACAGACTGAATGACTGATTTAAAATACCTTTTAAAGCATAGTCTGGAATTGAAGTCGCCAATTTGAAACTAGTGTCGCAATGCTTAGAAAGCTGCTTTCTTAGTGGCTAATGTCAAGTGTAGAACCATTTTGCTTTTGTGGATATTAATTCTTCCTGTCACATCTGATTCTGAGTGCATCCACACCCAAAAGGATGTCTTATTGACATATTTGTGTTCTGTCAGTTTTCTTTTAAGATCAAAATTTCCAAAGCATTGGGGTAAAGAAATGAAGCCAAATCAGTTTAGAAAGCTGTCATCTGATTGGCTCAAGAGCCAATTTATTTTTCATTTAAATTGGTGGTCAAAGTTCACCCAGGGTTCCCGACACATCCTCCTATGGAAGTGTCCTCCGATCTTCATGCAGACATCATATCAGAGTAAAAGATCTGATTTTAATCATTGTATAATTGATGGTGCTAATAATAATGGTGTAAATAGGCACATTGTTATCCAATAACCTTGATTATGACCAAGTTAACATTAACGAAATAGCAATTACAGTGTAACATTTGCAGTAGTATAGCAATATAGATGATTGTTTTAGGATTTAATGTGTTTGAGGTTAGTGAAGAATGTTGAGGTTATGGTACTCTTCTGATGGAGGAAGGAAACTAACACTTCAGTCGTACTTATGTCACTAATTTTCAACATTAAGCAGCTGAAAGAAACCTTTGGTTTTTGGTTTGGTTTAATAAATTAATATTTAGATTCAAGTTACATTTGAGGTTTTGAGGGTACATGAATAAAGTCTATAAATTATGTCTGTGTAGGCTGGGGATATTTGATCTTAATGAATATGAAACACGTAGGTTTAATCTTCTTCAGACACCAGTGAGTGAGTATGGTTTTACACCATTTTTAGCACTATTCCAGCAATATCACGACGGGGGAATCAGAAATGGGCTTCACACATTGTACCCATGTTGGGAATCGAACGCGGGTCTTTGGCGTGATGAGCAAACCTTTTAACCACTAGGCCACCCCACTGCCCACAACTTGAACTGGTTCAACTTTGAATTAAATCTCACACAGTTAGTATTAGCATTTAACATGTTGGTATTCAAAAAATTATTTAATGAACAGTTCAGGCTGTGAATATATAAATTATTGTGCAGTGTCAGTGTAGTGCTTAGATGTGGTGAATAAATGAACAAATATATTTACAAGGGGGATAACCGGTACTTATTGACTCTCATCATGTTGAACAATACATGAAGAATCATATCATGCCAAATGACAATAAAGTATTAACTGAAAAACGTTTCTCTGTTTTATATTGTCATACAGTGGTTCTTTTATCAAAGGCCCAAATGCACCGCAATTACTCGCAATCATTACCGTGGGAGTGTGGAGGATATCAATTTGAGGCACTCATGGATCAGTGTGTCCTTGTTGTTTACTACTGTGGTGTAGTGGTAGAGCGTCAGCCCAGGGAGCCGAAGGTCTTGGGTTCAATCCCCGGCCACGTCATACCAAAAGACGTTAAAAGATGGTACTTGTTGTTACCCTGTCTGGCGATCGACATTAAGAGGCTAAACCAAGGACTGGTCGGCCCAGAATCAGTACACTGTGTCTGAGTGAGGTATTCATGTAAAACTGTGGCATGGCATCTCAGTGTGGTAGCACTATAAATCGGCATCAGTCCAGACTAGTACAAACAGCCACACACACACGTGCATGCATGCATGTTGCAATAATCTTGGACGTGATGTTAAACCCCATTTCACCTCACCTGCTGCACTAAGTAATATTCAAACTTCGAACTGTAAATAATGAATCTGGACCAAACTAGGAATTGATATTATGAGCAGTGACCCGACCGTCAGGATACGTCAACACATCAATCAAATCATCAAGTCTGACCTCATCAAGGGACCAAATCTAAACCAGAATGCCAACAGGTTCCCAATTTAGTCACCTCTTACAACTAGCAATAGGGTGTCGACAGGAACACAGAACACTGTTCACTCATGAGCGAGTGATGTCTAACATGACGGTGAGCAATAGTCCAGCTCAATCACTATGACACCCTGTAAATAACTGGACCTGGGGACCACTAACCGGTGGTTACCATTTACCCTGAGCAACAGTCAATGGTCACACATTGTAACCACTGATCCTCATTTTATTTGACACTCATGGATTCAGTGCTTGCAATGTTTGCGGTTTGAAATGTCAGAAATTCTTAATCCACATTGACATGACATTACCCCTAGGACTTGAGTGGACAATGTCAGTGTATTTATGATTATGAAAGAGTGAGTTGGGTTTAACGCCGCTTTTAACAGTATTCCAGTTTTATCACGGCGTGCCAGCTTAATATAGGAGGAAAGCCCGAAGTGATGCAGGTCTCAGACTCTGACTATGACGTGCCCCCGAATATGAAAGAGCGACTTTGGCTTAATGCTGCTTTGAACATTTGTTCAGTAATGTATGAATGCTAATGGCACACAACGCTGTAGTCACACCATGAACAGCAGCACCTTCATAGCTGTGACAATGTAGGGAAACCGAATAAGACAATCCAAAGTTTCATATTACAATCTTCAAGAATGAAAACGACAAATTACAGACATAACGGTTTATTTTGGTATGATTCACATTCAGAATGAAGATGCAAGTCCCAATAGACAAAATGAGATATTTTTTTTGTGGACAAGGACTAATTGTATTTAGTTAATGAGAACAATAACTTTCTTTACTCTGTCATTACATTTGAAGAGCTAACTGTCTTCATTATCCTGTAAGAAAATTAGCCTGAATTGGATAAACTTCACCAATAAACAATGAACAGGTTCCTGGCCCCAATGTTCAAACTTGACAGCCCTGTTCTTTCAGCACTTGTATCGTACACAAATGATTTATATTGACAGATTGTGAAATATGGTACTCCTAGGCCAGTCTAGTCCTTCTCTGCAATGGCTGTTAGATGGGTATCAATCTGCTGCTCTGTCAGTACTCTGCAACACAACACCACCATACATGACATCTACGCATCACTTGAACAACACTATGCATCTCCAATACCCTCTCATACAGACCCTGACACCAAAATATCTTAAACTCTAAGTAAGGAGACTTTGGAAAGTCTAGATTTCTTCAGTATCAGAGCTCAAAAAGTAGCGATTCACTTGGCTCCTTTCTACTTAATATTAACAATGATCAAATAAAAGTTTACAAAAGAAATCTGAAAACATTTCCTTACCATTTAATCGATATCACAATAACATTTATTGGGAACAGACAATGCAGAGTGGTTGTTTGGTTTAAGGTTCCTATCACAGCTTTAAGACCACAATAGATATGCCAAAAACAGAATTATCAAAAGAAAATATACTTTTCATATTTTCTACCAAATATTATGTTTTCCTTTACCGGAAATGAGGATTATCTTTTGTGACGATTCCAACTTCAACTTCAGAAGCCTTGAAATCTGCAGACAACACTGTTGATAAGCATGTGATCGCGATCTGAAAATAAAGAAGAAATTCCTATCAACAACCACTACTTTAAGTCTACTCTTCCATTATGTTGAGCTAGTTACCATGACTATCACCAAACTTTTTAGAAAAAGTGCATATACATCATGTATATAGTAAATTTAGAGGGGCATAACATAAAATAAAAACAGTTTTCACAAACACATCTAGTGGGAGATTAACATGTCAACAGAATGAAGTAGATGCACTCTTGAAGCAGCCCCACCAAAGGGATCATGGGGAGGAAAGCCTGAAGCCCAGGCCTTAGACATTTACCACTTTGGTGAAACCCACCAGCATGGGTATGATGCCGACATAAACAAATTAATTAAAACAAAAACAGGTTATTAAGGTGAATCTGCAATAAAAAATAACTGTGATTGAAAACCCACAATCATAGGCTTCTGGCACATCTAAGGGACATAACTACTGCAGCGCCTTATCCCTCTGGGCCACCTGCCTGCTTGCAACCTTATGCTAACATTGGTACATATCAACCACCTATTCCCTGCTGCTTTACCTCAGCTGCCTCATTGTAGGTAAAATCCTGCTTCTTCTTGATCTTCTTTTCCAAGAAGCTGTTTGCTTCCAGCTGCTTGACACCTGCTGAAGTGGCCTTGAACCCACTGTAGTAACCTGCTGGGTCTGTCTTCAACACTATAGGGCCCTTCTCATCATCATAGCCGATCATTATCATGCCTGCAGTGTAAAATGCATGATGTAAACTTGTTACTTGGAACATACCATCACAAAACATCATGGGAAAGACAGTATCACCCTTCAAACCAAGAACGGATATTATTACAATTTCCAGAGCCATAAAGCCTGTAACAAAAACAATGGCTTTGAATCAATGAATTAGGAGATAAACAATATGTGTTGTGCAGTGTTTTTCACATATGGACATGATACTTATCAAGAAAAGTATTCATATGCAGTGTCAAGTCCAACAGATTCCCAGACTTTGAATCCCATTTTACAACACATTTCCAGAAGCACATACTCCCATCTGTTTTATGACAAATGTTTACAATACTACACTACATGTAGAATGTGTGACTTACAGCATCCAAGTGGTCTCATCTCGGCACTCTGTGTGTACACCTGGTTGATGTCAGCGATGCGTTTACACAGCATGTCTATGGGAATCTCATAGCCGTACGTATACTTCCACTTTGCTGCTTCATATCGGGCTCTCTGCACCTGTGAGCGACTGTCGGCTAAAACATAAAGTGATCATACATAATCTGTCATACACTACAAAATAACTATAGTATCTGAAAGATTTCTTTTCCGAGTACTGTAAAATACTTGAAACATTTAGCACAATACCGCTTAGATCATGTACATAATGTAGTGTAATTTTGATGAAAAATATCTGTTTCATCACACAAATTTAAAACCAATAACCACAACATGTAAGCCTAACTTACAGTCACAGAAAAGTGGTGTAACAGTCGTTGGACAAAGAAACACACCAATCATGCCAATTGCACACTTTGTGACAGACAGGAAAATTTAACATCAACCAGATTGCCAATTATGCTAATGGGAAGTAAATCGATGTGCACTGTCAATTTATCATAATTCATTAACCGAGGACAGGAATATTAGATTTCAAAAGAAAAAGGGTAATGTTGGGTAATTTCAGTTTTACAAAGATTTAGATAACTTATATTTCACTGCGAAACACTGATAACAGGGACATGAAACTTAAAGAGAAAAGGATTTTAATGTTAAAGGTAACTGAGTGAGTTTGGTTTTACACCGCTTTTAGCAATATTCCAGCAATATCACGGCGGGGGACACCAGAAATGGGCTTCACACATTGTACCCATGTCGGGAATCGAACCCGGGTCTTCGGCGTGACAAGCTAACGCTTAAACCACTAGGCTACCCGACCGCCCCATGTTAAAGGTAAAATACCTCTCTCATGTTGGACCAAATAAACCTTATTTCTCCACCCCTGAGCTCTTTGCTCAATATCCTAGATAGATTCCCCCATTTTAGAATGCACAATGTCCTTACTTTTCTTTGTTACGTATTTCCATTTACTACACATCATTACCTATCATCCCTGTCATGACACAGCCAATGTTTTCTGTGAGTTGGAAGAGGTGAGTGACAACACTGGCATCTAGCAACTTGTCCTGTGGATATAAAAAATATGTACTTATCAACATTACTTTCTACAATCTGAATCTAAAATCTGTCAACAAAGTCTAATTACAAGAAAAGAGAAGATACAGTTCTCTATATCTCAGGCCAATATCGTGGGCTTTACATTCGTACAAATGGATCCAGACACCAATGAATATGGATGAACATAGAAAATCAGCTTTCTCTCAGGCCTACTTAGCATGACAAACATGGAAATGCCAAAATGAAGTAAACAAAAATTATTGACATGCCAATACTAGCAATAGGCTCTACTACTGATTGTACCATTTACTCTGTATGAGGTGTTTCATGAGCATATGAATAATTTCTAGTTATAGTCTGGATATCACTGATATCAGGAATAGTTACTGTGATACTGATATGATCAGGAAAAGAATCCAGTGAAGTTGGTTTGAGGTACAGAATGTGATAATCATGATCAGTAGCAGTAAGTGATAATAGTAGTATGCGATAATGTGTTTGATAGCACTCTATCACTAGTAATGAAATTTCTGATAAGAGCTGCCTCCGCTAGAGACACTGTTCAAATTTGTATGGTGTACATGACAGACGCTAAAAAAATATGATTAACTCACAGGGACTTTCTTCTGTGTGACAATAACAGCTGAATCCTTCCCCCGCACTGCCACAGATGTCAAACCACCCTGGTTAATAGCCTTGAAAGCATATTCTGTCAAGAAAAATAGTAGACATTAGATTTGCTACAACACAAAAGTATACTTACATGATTTACGAGTATAAGAGAACATTGTACTACCCTATTTACTGTATCAAAATATAATAAACATTATGCCTTAGTTAATATCAACAGGTCAAAGAAGTTTGTTTGGAAAGAATTATCTCAGTTTCTAAGGGTAAACTTCATGACTTCTGGGATTAAAAACCTTTGAGACGCAAACCAAACATGTAACTATGACACTTAAAATGTTCCATTTTGTTGTATATTTGTCTGTACAGTTTGATACGAGGAACTATGTGAACAAAATGCACATATGCAACAAAAAAAGAATGTATTTTATGATATATCCTAATATTCATAAGGACCATCATAAAAATAACACGATAAAGAAAGTAACAAATGGTTGACAATGGTGGGATAAATTGGTTAAGTTTGATTAAAAGTGAAATTATTAACACTGGTTCTGTCTCTTTCAACTATGCCAGTACTTTTGCAAAAATGTGTATTGACAGGTCCTCTTCGAAATTACTTGACACTAATTGCCAGTGACATATATTGGACGAGATTTCGGAATTAAAATATTTCATCCTGGACAGGGATATACACATGCTTCCACATGTCCATGTACTAACAGTTGCTTGTTGAAATCTGTGGCACACTCTGAATGTTTCCTGCCATCAACCTTTATCACAGGTGATTTTAATCAGCCATTTGGAAGACATTTGACTAGACTGGCCATCTTCACCCAACTATTATTAAATTAGGAAAATGCCGAACCTGTTGTGGAGTTAAGCAAATGTCTTGAGTGTGAAACTTGAGCTTGAAATCACATGTTTACATTTTGCCACAGACAATAGGGTCTTGCTTACATAGCTGGTACCGGGACGGCACAGTCTCTTAATTTGATATAAACATTGTCAAGAAAATTTTAAGTCGAACAGTCCTCAAAATGAAGCATTAAATGCTACATGATTTTCATTAACATGTTCACGATGATCAATGTATCCTTTGTAAATGTTTAATAACAAATGTATTTTATAACATCTTAAGAGTCAATCTATGAAGAACTCTATTCGAAATCGCATCATGTCCCGAGCAGATCACAAATATCACAATCATTTTACTTTGTGTATCTTACCAACTTGATACAGGCGTCCCTCTGGAGAAAAGATGGTGATGTACCGATCAAATCCAGCACTGCTTCCACGTGCCATGTTAAAACAGGAATATATCAACAAAAACCAACACTAAATACGCAAAGTTTTCAAGGAATCATGCGATGTAAATATGACTATGCAGAAACTGCTTCTATCATGGCAGCATGTAAGGGTACTACAAAAAGTAGAATCTGGTTAAAGCTAAAAGACGAATTATTTGATACGAAATACGATTGCGGATCGTAGGCGTAATTGGCTCTTTGAAAACATACGTCACGTTTACATTAAATATTACATTCTAAGTTTAATCTGCGTATTCACTACTTCCCACCCAAAACGTTTAAATGAATGAATGATATATTAGTCGTGCTGTAAAACCAAGTTACATGTGGTGACTGCTCCACTGAAATACAAACCAATCTATAATATCTCCATTCAAAACATTGGTATGCAAAACTCGTAAACAACCGGCCCGATAAGGTTACATTTGGTCCAGCCCCGTTAAAATCTTGGGTAGAATAATTTAAGCATCCCATTCTTGTCCCGTAAGACGCGATTCACTGGATCGGGAGGTCAGAGGCGACTAACGGGATCGAGTGGTCAGGATCGCGGACTTTGTTGATGCATTGCATCGTATCCCAACTGCGTAGATCGATGCCCATGATATCAATCACTGAATTGTCTAGTCCAGACTCGACTATTCACACCCCCCATTTATATAGCAGGTATATTGCTGAATGCGGCGTTAAACAACAAACAAACAAATAACATTTTGGTCTAGCATTTCACTTTAGGTTCACAATTTCGCCTGCACTGTAGGCTAACAGTTATACTCTGAAATGATTTGCCTTTGTTAAATTGTATTTTAATATAATATAGAAAGGAATCCAAAAAATGCCTTCATCTAGTTGTGCCAAGATAGTATAGTATAGACTTTCTTTGAAACTTTCCGATATTTGTTCTATTTGTCTGTACGAGAGACAAGCTACACTATGTTAGGAAATTATAAGGTATGTCCTTGAAATCTTAAGCCAATATACAAATGATGTTACAGTATCCGTTTTCTGATAAAAGTGTTAATATGTTACATAAGACTAAGTTATGTATGATACATATTGGCCAAATAGATGAGTATACCAATTTGATATCAGTAAACTATTTGAAACGATGGGCCGACCATATAACTACATATACAACAACTATTCATCCAGCAGATGGTTAATTCTGGGACACTTTAGATGCACCGGGCGTATATGAAACTAACGTGCTATGTGTTAATCCTGTCATCGAGCTGCAAGGTGAAAGATCCAATGAAAACGTCTGTATCTGGACTAAGCTCTTCATTGTTTCACCTGTAACATTCCTTGCCGTTTATTGTTTTTTTCTTCTTATTGACACTGCGTGAGTGAGTATGGTTTTACGCCGCTTTTAGCAATATTCCAGCAATATCACGACGGGGGAAACCAGAAATGGGCTTCACACACTGTACCCATGTCGGGAATCGAACCCGGGTCTTCGGCGTTTAGAGCGAACGCTTTAACCACCGGGCTACCCGATCGCCCCTTCTTATTGACAGGATTTTATGGTGTATTTTATGTAAACTGCATAGCAAAAGAAAGTATACGCATGGAAATTGAATTTGACAACAGTTCAAACGTTTTTCAAAGCTCAAGAAGTCTGAAAACAGTCGCCGAAACACTGAAAACTTAAGGTTCAAAAGACATACAATAATATAATATATAAAATGCGTAATACCTACATGCAACCCATCCCTCACCCCATACACATACCTATATGCATTCATCCATCTACTCAGGTATACATGCATTCAAATATACTTACATTAAAATATACATACCTATATCCCATGCACACGCATACTTCCCCCCAACCCACACATCTATCCAATGAGGCCTGGGCGTGACAGGCCTAAAAACGACACCTATGCGCGATCGCTTTATTACATTAATTGCACTACGCAAAAGACTCAAATCTGCTTGTGATATCAATAGAGAATCCCGTACAATAACAGGAAGGCGAATTTCAACATCTACCGTTAAAAACAGGCTCTATGCAGCCCGCCTGAAAACAAGGCGTCCTGTGAAGGGTGTGACTCTAATAGCTTACCATAAGCGGCAAAAGAATTGGTGATCTAGTAGGCAACACCTGGCACTGGCTGTGCGCCAATGACACTATACCATGTTTACAGACGAATAAAGGTTTTGCCTCCGAGTCACAGATGGCAGGAAACCTTTTTGGGCGCCGTTACGGCGAGCAGTATGCCAGGGCAACAATTCTTGGCCATGATCGGTATGGGGGCGGTAGTGTCATGGTGTGGGGCGGTATCACACATGGCAGTCGAACTGATTTGATTCTTGTGAATAGAAATTTGACTAGCCAGCGATATGTTGACGGAATTTAGCGTCATGTAGTTGTTTCATACTGTATTATTATTGGCGGAAGTTTTAAACTGCAAGATAACAATGCCAGACCACTTCGTGCCCAGGTCGTCACCGATTATCTCCGACGAGAAGACAATACGGCCATAGGACTGTCCCGCTAAGTCCCCTGACATGTCCACAACTGTGGGATATTCTGGGGCTGAGTGTGTAACACAAGAGACGCAGCACCCGCCAACGTGACCCGGCTTTGGGTTGTTCTCGAGGCGGAATGGCGGGCAATACAAAGGGCAACCGTACGCAAGTTTATCAACAACATACCGCAAAGGTGTCGTGCATGTATCGCCCAAAATGGTGGACACACAAGATAGTGATGTGCGCTCCCTGAAATAACTTTACAGAAATGTATCGTCATTACATCTTCTCTATCATTTCATCACTTCCCCTATTTTTGTCGGTAGTATATAGGGTACGTTGACTGCGTTGGCTGTGTGCCCTCCAAGGTATGGTAGATGAGTCTTTCATGAAAAGAAAGATTTTCCGCTTTGTAGACGACCCGCATATGTGTTACAGAGCATATTTGTCCCTGTATATCTTGTCTGGAAGCTACATTACCATGCCTGAAAGCAAACTGTCCAGATAACCCTAAATAAACTGCGTGATACATATTGGTAGATTAGATGATTACTGATTTGATATCAGACAGACAGACAGACAGACAGACAGACAAATTTATTCGGTACTTCAGGCCACCGGCCCATAATACAATGGAAATATACTGTATATATATTTGCATGCTGAGTAGATGTAATTACATCAATTACATTACAATGTGTTTCCTTTCGATGTTCATGACTTGGGAGAGAAATTTACCTAAGCCTTTTATAATTTGTTCGTTTTCAGCTGACATAAGTCTTATAAAATTCTCAATAGAGGGAGGGGTAACGAGACGCTTGGGAAAAGAGTTTCTTCTTGCTCTAGAATAATGGTCACAAATCATAAGAACATGGAATTCATCTTCTACATGGTTATGTCCCTTTGAAAAACAGAAAGTGCAGACACGTTCATTATATATCAGTAAACTCATTGACATGATGGGCCAACCTCACAACCGTATATACTCATCTAGCAGATGGTTGATTCTGGGACACTTCAGATGAACTGGGCGTATATGAAACTGACGTGATATACATGTATGTGTTATTTTGTCATGGAGGTGAAAGTAAGGTGTGTAAGGTGAAAGATCCTATGAAAACGCCTGTGTATTAATTCAGCTGTTCATTATTTTAGCAACACATTCTAACTAATACAGTTTCCCCTTCCTTTTGACATGATTTGATATAAAGTGCGGGGCAAAGGAAAGTTTACACTTAAAAATGACACGACAAGGAGATAACAAAAAAATGTTTCATTTTTAGCCACCATCAAATATGGGTGTGTACTTTATTTTTCCAGGTAGTTTATGATAAAGAAGCTTGGTGGCCTTCAGACATTTCAGTGTAAATACTAAGGCCATACTAAGTCCTACGTAAGAGATAGTAAGCCCTGCGTAGGAGAAACTGAATCCTATGTAGGCGATACTAAGTCCTACGTAGAAGGTACTAAGTCCTACGTAGGAGATACTAAGTCCTACGTAGGAGATACTTAGACCAAAAATAATTCAATGTGGCCCCACTACGCTTCCGTACGGAACAAACCTACATATAGCAGGAGAAATAAAAGTAAGGTGCGCTCAAACACCGGAACCGACGCCACGAGACCGGAAAATGAAACTGACCAGATAGGCCTAAAACAACTCGCAAAACATAAACAAACTTCATCAAGAAGGTGGAGCGATCGGGTAGCCTCGCTGTTAAAGCGTTCGCTCGTCACGCCGAAGACCTGGTTTCGATTCCCGACATGGGTACAATGTGTGGAGCCCATTTCTTGTGTCCCCCGTCGTGATATTGCTGGAATATTGCTAAAAGCGGCGTAAAACCATACGCACACACTCACTCACTCATCAAGAAGGTAATGATGAAAAGGAACATAAACTAACCCGCATATAGAATCAGTTGCAGTTTGGACGTGTATTTTGAAACCAATCTGCAATGTTTGAATAAATATACAGCTACAGATACTGCAATGGACATTGAATAAAAAGGAACATACATGTATATCTAACAGCAAAACGACCACGCAATACAGCATCAGCAATTTTCAATGCATAACAAATATTGCATTTTATCAAATTACGATAGAGAGTAAAAGTGATGTCCATATATACTGAGGTTTCTCATATATGGGTTCTCACCTGATAATTCTAATGCAATAATCTATTCCTGAAGGATATGATTCGGTTTCGAGGAAAGAGTGGTTCATCAATATAACATGAAATGTGAATATTTATACCCGCACGTATGTTACAGAGAACAATTTGGTTTGCTTTCATTTCGCCTGTACATTTCTCGCCCACACAACAACACCTTATAGGGAAAAAACACCTGATTGATTCCAATACCGTAACCGACGTCCCCACAACAAAAAGGAAACTGTCCAGATAACCTCATTAAACTGTTGTCACAAAACATTTTAAAACATAACCATTTCCCTAACCATAAGAAATGTCTGCTTAAAGCAGACTCCACAGTAAGATTCCAAGTATATCATAATCATGTATTTATGAATCATCATTAAATTGTGATGATACCATGTGTTCACGAAAAGGTGAGCGTAGCCTGTCCCACCGTATGATCACACCACAAACACATGCAAATGCAAGTCAACTGTTAAAACTCAAAAACATGTGGTACATATTTTAAGTTTAAATACGGAATTTCATCGGACATCATTTTAGTTTCTGATGGTCATTTTAGTTTCTGATGGTCATCAGGAAGTAATATTCGGGAGAGAATAATACTAATCCATGTAGGGACAATACATGAAAGGACAATTGCAGATTTGATTTTTGCTGTAGCCAACCTACATTGTTTGAATCAATATCTTAAATAATATTTAAACGCTTTTTGAAAAAAATGATTGCAGTAAAATTAGCGTCAACTTTGGCATCAAACCGCTGGCTCTTTGCCAGTAACCCCCTCGTGGTCGTGTGGTAGAGCGTCCGCCCGGAGAGCGGAAGGTCCGGGGTTCGTTACCCGGCTGCGTCATACCAAAAGACGTTAAAACTTGGTACTTGTTGTTACCCTGTCTGGCGCCTAAGTGGCTAAAACGAGGACTGGTCGGCTCGGAGTCAGTATACTGTGTCTGAGTGGGGTATTCATGATAAACTGCGGCATGGTAACTCAGTGGGCTAGCACTATTAATCGGCATCAGTCCGGACCAGTAGAAGCAGCCACACACAAACACACACCCGCACACGCACACGCACACGCACACACACACGCACACGCACACGCACGCACGCACGCACGCACACACACACACACACACACACACACGTGTGCATGCACGTCGCTATATAAGTGCAACAATCTTGGACGCGATGTTAAACCCCATTTCACCTCACCTATTTGTCAGTAGGTGTTTCAAAGGGATGAACTATAGTTCGAATTACACCATTATGACGACGTCGCGCTATTGATGTTGCAGTTGATCCTGAGCCAGGAATTCACTGACCATACTGAACGAGAAAAACTGACGCAACTATTGGTCATTATGCAAATTGTAGAGGAATTAAATACCAACCAAAACATTTTTAAGACGGCGAAATCACTCGGATCTATTAATTCCGAAGTAGAACCAACAGGTTCTCATGATTTCTACAATACAGAATTACTCATAAAATGCTAATGTTAATACGTTATTATTTTCATTGGATAGCTACATGTATATATTTCAAGGTGTGTGTTGGAAATCCAAACTACTTTGATTAATAACTTAATGAATAATGATACACAAATGCTTTGTTATGATGTCTGTTCTAAGATGACATGCTCATTTCATCAATATGTCTCAAAACCGCCTGAATAGAGATTTATTCTTTGTCATCAAGCTCTTTTGAGATAACAATTAAACGATGTTTATAGGCTGCACGTATTGGCTAGTTAAATGCTTTAATTTGATATCAGTATTGAAAATGAAAAGGCGTGTGAGACAGCTAGCTATGTCGCATGATACCTGTAGGACATATGTCCTTAAAACCATACCTATTTTCGATTAATACATTTTACGCCTACTGTTATAAGCTAACACAGTTGGGAAAGTTAAGGAATTTGATATCAGAATGTACGTCTAAGGCCTGTTTCATGGACGCATCTGTCGCCAACTGTTATGCATAAATACTTGACAGGTGATATCTATGTTTCTGACGTGTAATCTACACTCCTAAAAGGGAACATTTGATATTATTCCAAAGAATTTGTTCCTTAATCCTTGATACAATCATGGATGGACTTTCTTAAATATTGAAGTATTGAAACAAGTGGAATTAATACTGGTACCATGTCGATTCTCAAAAATTCCAAGGATTGCTTGGATCTTTGCAATCTCACAAAAGAACCAAATTCAATTCTGTAAAAAAATTAAGCAACCTTTCACACCATTATTCAACATGACAAACTTAAAACGTCATTCCTTGATCCATGCTGCATTTTGTTATTAAACGCGTTGACCACAGATATGTTCAGTTTAGGTGGGTAATTATTAATAAGTGGAAGGGAAGTGGCTATTTTTATGATTATTAAACGAAATCAGATCATCAATATACCCAAGCTTTAACGTTAAATTCAACGTCTTGGCCAAATTACCTTGTTTTGACTGTGCTAATCCGAGCAGAACTTCCGATTCCTATGCATAAATAAACAGATCAGCAAGAAGGGCAGCACAATTGGTGCCAATGGCGATGCTTACTTTTTGCCTGAAGATTTTACCCCCCAATTAGGAAGTCATATTCATTTCACATATTGTTTTCTTCGTAAACTTCAGATGGCATTTGCTATAATTTTTGACAAATTATTTTGAACCTTTGAAGACAGATATGCAACTGCAGTCAAACCCCCGTTGTGTCGAATGTTCATCTATGGTCATCACGTCTAGAAACAAATACCCCTTGGATCAAGGAATGATGTTTATCGTGTGGGATAGTGGTGTACAAACTTTAAAAACACAAATGTCTTGAAAGAATTTAACTTGTGTTTTTTTCTGAGATTACAAAGAATCAAGCAAAACCTATGTGTTTTGGGGAACCCACATGGTATTAATTCCACTACGTTCTGTGAATATAAACCCATGTTAGCCCACCATACAGAGGACCCTGGGGCTTACAGTACATCTGTTAACTGTACGAAGCACCAGCTGGATATACACCATCACCTTGCTCACTGATTGTTGGCAATATTAACCTGTGATAAAGGCCTATAAAAATATTCCCATATTAGGTACTAAAGGTAGATGTAGATATAATTTGAATGATGTATTTTCTCATGACCTCTATTGGCGGACCTTGAGAAGAAACTAGCACATTATTGATGTTGGATTATTCACTTATTCTTTGTCTAATCACCATTTACTCAGCTTTGATTTAACTTATATATGGGTTTTTTTCCAATCAATACTAACTGAACATCACTGATTGAAAAATAATTTATCATCAGGACCAAATAGATCCAACTCACCGCATGTTGATAAATCTGAATAACATCATGTTTTGTCCTAAAATGTTGACCCCATCCACGAGGTACATATGTAAGTAACAATCCGCGGTCACATAATTCCAGTAACCCTGCCCTACATATAAGCTGCCAGCCATATACCAAATAAATGTATCCTAAATAAGTATCCAAACCATACGGGAAAATACTTTTTCAATTATACTTACGTAAAGTGCTGCTACCACAATCATACATATTTCTTAATCCAATGCACGAGATAACTGAGGCCGACTTAAAGAGGTTTCATTCTATTAGAAAATATTATTTCATCAAACATCCGAAAATTACTGTAAAAAATGATAAGGGACCTATTATTAAATATTCTAGTGTGGGATGGAAAAAAGGAGCTGAACAATTTCTTTGTCTGGAACAATTATGTTTTTCAAAAGAATCCCAGCACCCTGTGTAGTATTGCATTGTGCAGTAAAATGAGCCAGAATTAGGAACAATATATTAAACATTGATTTCTAAGTGTTTCATTATTCAGTAAATGTCCAGTTTGTAACCCCACTCCCACCATGAAATGCAATGAATAAATATCCCCAGATGTTTCATTCTGATAATATATCTGTCAGTGACGTTATATCTGCAACGCTATATAAACGCTCTGTTGTTCAGCAATTTATCTACTAAGAACTCAACCGTTCATACTCACAGGTGACTAGGCTCGACGTACGTATCATAGCTGAGCTTAAGACGTTACTCTTGCAGAGATTATATTTTGATTCAACTGTATGACAAGCAAGATATATGACACAATGTATTCATCTGTATGCCTAAAATGTGATTGTCAATATGTTTCAGTGCAAAATGATCGTACAGGTGATGCTCTCCGTTCTCCTGGTGTCAGTCACTCTGACTGAAGGTAGAGGCATTCGAGGAAGAAGCCTTAGGGAAGCTTTTGAAGGTATTCCTACGTTTGGGCTAAATGAGAATGATTTAGTTGCAAGTGATTTAGTGACATTTAAATGGCTAACAAAACACATTCGCGTTTATGTTAACATAAACCGTACAAAATTAGGCCAAATCCACAAACATACTACTGTTTCCTGATGGACTGATAATAGGAGGGGCGAGTGTGTGAAATGACCTTTGAACTTGACATTGTGAATAATTACCATAACAACTAATGTCTGTAACTAGCTTTTTATGACTAACATACTGTTTGGGCAACATAACCACCTGCCGATTAAAAAATCCGAGGCGGAAGCAGACAAACTGGTCCCTGCTCATCGTTCAAATTGCGCAGCACGTCAAACATAAGGAACCTGTTTTATCACCAGAGGCGAATTTATCTCTTTGGGGCACTATTTCGCCTGTCAATTTTTATCGTATTTTCAATGCTCCTTCCGTTTTCTCAAATTTATTTTTGGTCAAACATTTGTGATTAGGTATGTCTTAAAGTAAGAACATCTGCAAAGGGACTATATTGAGTTTACGTGTCCTTTAATGTGCCCTTTAAAAACAAAACAAGCATGTCACAGCATTCAGCTACGAATGCATCTCAAGAACTAAAGACTATTCTTCCAATTAATCTTTTCTAGATATCTAGAATTGTTACAGTTGTAACAATCCATATACAGGAAACAGAATGTCTTCCTGATCACACTTAGTTTTCAATAGACGATATAGGAGGATTAGAGAAATATAAATTCATAGATCAAAACAAGCGATATTTTACTAATATTTGTTAAATCTGTTACCATTAGAGTCTGCCTCTGAATTATCCTCTGGTTCCTCTTCCTCATCATCCTCGGAGTCAACAGAAGAAGTGAAGCGTGATCTTGAAGGTAATCATGTAGTTAATGTTCAGATTGAGAGGCGTGTTCTGTTGCTCATCTAGTGCTACTTGACAGGTTATATAAGAAAAATACAATCATCTAAACTGAAATGTTTGGAAAGACATGTCTTTGGTGTTCAAAAGTATTGTACATCTGTGAAAGAAGTTTCTAATTATCTGAATAAATTGAGGACCAATCGCAAAAACATGCTTTTTAATGACGTGAACGGTGTCAAATCTTACATGGAAGGAACAATCTTTTGGACCATCACTTGATGATTTGAGTGTGGGGGCGTTCCTAACCACAAAGGAGAAGTAATTTAGTCAAGATATCAAGACTGCTAAGAATGAAAAAGAAATTATTACTATACAAACAATTTCATCAATTTTATATGAAAAAAGTAACAACGGGGGACAGAACACCTTAATATTGTATGAATGTCACGGATTTATACCTGTGCAATGTTTATTCAAGACATCGTGTGTTCTACAACCTGGTTTATCCGCAATCTTGAAAGCCATATAGCAGCTTATTAGATTAATACACTCTATTTTTTCTGTTTTATCCTTTCATGCATCAACCATTAGCATTTTAGGGAAACATGATCAAAGTATGTCTAGATTTATTTGTTATTACCTGAGCATTTGATAAGTAAATGTGATAAATTATTGAATTTAGAATCGTCTTCGGAATCCTCCTCTGGGTCATCTTCTTCATCCTCCTCAGAATCGACAGAAGAAGGTAAGAGCAATGATGAAGGTAATGTCTGATGAATGTTCCATAAGCAACAACACGACAAATGTGTCATAGCGTCCGTGTTACCACAGCATCTCATGAAATGTAGATTATTCTTGTATGTGTTCACCCTATTATATATATATAAATGTCGCAGTCGTCACTGAATCATATACTGTAACAGTTACTTAGAATGCCTGACCCCACTGCTATGAATCATCAGAATCGACAGAAGAAAGCGAGAGCAACGATGAAGGTAATTGCCACCAGTTGAGGCTCCACAGCACGAAGACTATTCTTCCACGAGTTTATCTTTTTTAGATGTCTTGAACTGTGACAGTTGTCACTATCCACATAATGGAAACAGTTTGCCATAAAAGGTGTAGGAGGATAGGAGAATTATAGATTCATAGATCAAAACAACCAATATTTCACTTATATTTGTTAAATCTGTTACCATTAGAATCTTCCTCTGAATCATCCTCTGGTTCCTCTTCCTCATCATCCTCGGAGTCAACAGAAGAAGTGAAGCGTGATACTGAAGGTAATCATGTAGTTAATGTTCAGGTTGAGAGGGGCAGTCGGGTAGCCTAGTGGTTAAAGCGTTCGCTCGTCATGCCGAAGACCCGGGTTCGATTCGCGACATGGGTACAATATGTGAAGCCCATTTCTGGTATCCCCTGCCGTGATATTGCTGGAATATTGCTAAAAGCGGCGTAAAACCATACTCACTCACTCACTCACTCAGGTTGAGAGGCGTGTTCTGTTGCTCATCTAGTGCTACTTGACAGGTTATATAAGAAAAATACAATCATCTAAACTGAAATGTTTGGAAAGACATGTCTTTGGTGTTCAAAAGTATTGTACATCTGTGAAAGTAGTTTCTAATTATCTGAATAAATTGAAGACCGATCGCAAAAAAACATGCTTTTTAATGACGTGAACGGTGTCAAATCTTACATGGAAGGAACAATCTTTTGGACCATCACTTGATGATTTGAGTGTGGGGGCGTTCCTAACCACAAAGGAGAAGTAATTTAGTCAAGATATCAAGACTGCTAAGAATGAAAAAGAAATTATTACTATACAAACAATTTCATCAATTTTATATGAAAAAAGTAACAACGGGGGACAGAACACCTTAATATTGTATGAATGTCACGGATTTATACCTGTGCAATGTTTATTCAAGACATCGTGTGTTCTACAACCTGGTTTATCCGCAATCTTGAAAGCCATATAGCAGCTTATTAGATTAATACACTCTATTTTTTCTGTTTTATCCTTTCATGCATCAACCATTAGCATTTTAGGGAAACATGATCAAAGTATGTCTAGATTTATTTTTTATTACCTGAGCATTTGATAAGTAAATGTTATAAATTATTGAATTTAGAATCGTCTTCGGAATCCTCCTCTGGGTCATCTTCGTCGTCATCCTCAGAATCGACAGAAGAAGGTGAGAGCAATGATGAAGGCAATCGTTTATCTAGGTTACATGTTAAAAGAAAATCACTTTTGACAATAAGTAAGTGATGGCTGAGTGGGTGGTTTAACGTCCGCAGAGAAAGTATCGTTGCAATATCACAATGAGAGAAAGTCTGATAATTATGTTCTGGCGTCCAGCCATCCCACATTACAGTGAAACAGATAAAAACATGACGGTATAAACCATAGTCCTCAGCCTTCCGCGAATTGAAGCTTGTAAATTTCTACTGACGCAGTTGCAGTCAGAAAACCCTTCATACGTGAAACATAGTTATTTGAGAATTAGTGTTTTACCAGTATGCTGGACAGTTCTTCCTCCTCTCTCTATTTTTTCTGTTTTATCCTTTCATGCATCAACCATTAGCATTTTAGGGAAACATGATCAAAGTATGTCTAGATTTATTTGTTATTACCTGAGCATTTGATAAGTAAATGTGATAAATTATTGAATTTAGAATCGTCTTCGGAATCCTCCTCTGGGTCATCTTCTTCTTCATCCTCCTCAGAATCGACAGAAGAAGGTAAGAGCAATGATGAAGGTAATGTCTGATGAATGTTCCATAAGCAGCAACACGACAAATGTGTCATAGCGTCCGTGTTACCACAGCATCTCATGAAATGTAGATTATTCTTGTATGTGTTCACCCTATTATATATATATAAATGTCGCAGTCGTCACTGAATCATATACTGTAACAGTTACTTAGAATGCCTGACCCCACTCCTATGAATCATCAGAATCGACAGAAGAAAGCGAGAGCAACGATGAAGGTAATTGCCACCAGTTGAGGCTCCACAGCACGAAGACTATTCTTCCACGAGTTTATCTTTTTTAGATGTTTTGAACTGTGACAGTTGTCACTATCCACATAATGGAAACAGTTTGCCATAAAAGGTGTAGGAGGATAGGAGAATTATAGATTCATAGATCAAAACAACCAATATTTCACTTATATTTGTTAAATCTGTTACCATTAGAATCTTCCTCTGAATCATCCTCTGGTTCCTCTTCCTCATCATCCTCGGAGTCAACAGAAGAAGTGAAGCGTGATACTGAAGGTAATCATGTAGTTAATGTTCAGGTTGAGAGGGGCAGTCGGGTAGCCTAGTGGTTAAAGCGTTCGCTCGTCATGCCGAAGACCCGGGTTCGATTCCCGACATGGGTACAATATGTGAAGCCCATTTCTGGTGTCCCCTGCCGTGATATTGCTGGAATATTGCTAAAAGCGGCGTAAAACCATACTCACTCACTCACTCACTCAGGTTGAGAGGCGTGTTCTGTTGCTCATCTAGTGCTACTTGACAGGTTATATAAGAAAAATACAATCATCTAAACTGAAATGTTTGGAAAGACATGTCTTTGGTGTTCAAAAGTATTGTACATCTGTGAAAGTAGTTTCTAATTATCTGAATAAATTGAAGACCGATCGCAAAAAAACATGCTTTTTAATGACGTGAACGGTGTCAAATCTTACATGGAAGGAACAATCTTTTGGACCATCACTTGATTATTTGAGTGTGTGGGCGTTCCTAACCACAAAGGAGAAGTAATTTAGTCAAGATATCAAGACTGCTAAGAATGAAAAAGAAATTATTACTATACAAACAATTTCATCAATTTTATATGAAAAAAGTAACAACGGGGGACAGAACACCTTAATATTGTATGAATGTCACTGATTTATACCTGTGCAATGTTTATTCAAGACATCGTGTGTTCTACAACCTGGTTTATCCGCAATCTTGAAAGCCATATGGCAGCTTATTAGATTAATACACTCTATTTTTTCTGTTTTATCCTTTCATGCATCAACCATTAGCAGTTTAGGGAAACATGATCAAAGTATGTCTAGATTTATTTTTTATTACCTGAGCATTTGATAAGTAAATGTTATAAATTATTGAATTTAGAATCGTCTTCGGAATCCTCCTCTGGGTCATCTTCGTCGTCATCCTCAGAATCGACAGAAGAAGGTGAGAGCAATGATGAAGGCAATCGTTTATCTAGGTTACATGTTAAAAGAAAATCACTTTTGACAATGAGTAAGTGATGGCTGAGTGGGTGATTTAACGTCCGCAGAGAAAGTATCGTTGCAATGTGACAATGAGAGAAAGTCTGATAATTATGTTCTGGCGTCCAGCCATCCCACATTACAGTGAAACAGATAAAAACATGACGGTATAAACCATAGTCCTCAGCCTTCCGCGAATTGAAGCTTGTAAATTTCTACTGACGCAGTTGCAGTCAGAAAACCCTTCATACGTGAAACATAGTTATTTGAGAATTAGTGTTTTACCAGTATGCTGGACAGTTCTTCCTCCTCTCTCTATTTTTTCTGTTTTATCCTTTCATGCATCAACCATTAGCATTTTAGGGAAACATGATCAAAGTATGTCTAGATTTATTTGTTATTACCTGAGCATTTGATAAGTAAATGTGATAAATTATTGAATTTAGAATCGTCTTCGGAATCCTCCTCTGGGTCATCTTCTTCATCCTCCTCAGAATCGACAGAAGAAGGTAAGAGCAATGATGAAGGTAATGTCTGATGAATGTTCCATAAGCAGCAACACGACAAATGTGTCATAGCGTCCGTGTTACCACAGCATCTCATGAAATGTAGATTATTCTTGTATGTGTTCACCCTATTAGATATATATAAATGTCGCAGTCGTCACTGAATCATATACTGTAACAGTTACTTAGAATGCCTGACCCCACTCCTATGAATCATCAGAATCGACAGAAGAAAGCGAGAGCAACGATGAAGGTAATTGCCTCCAGTTGAGGCTCCACAGCACGAAGACCATTCTTCCACGAGTTTATCCTTTTTAGATGTCTTGAACTGTGACAGTTGTCACTATCCACATAATGGAAACAGTTTGCCATAAAAGGTGTAGGGGGGTAGGAGAATTATAGATTCATAGATCAAAACAACCAATATTTCACTTATATTTGTTAAATCTGTTACCATTAGAATCTTCCTCTGAATCATCCTCTGGTTCCTCTTCCTCATCAGCCTCGGAGTCAACAGAAGAAGTGAAGCGTGATACTGAAGGTAATCATGTAGTTAATGTTCAGGTTGAGAGGCGTGTTCTTTTGCTCATCTAGTGCTACTTGACAGGTTTTATAAGAAAAATACAATCATATAAACTATAAAAAATTTGGAAAGACATGTCTTTGGTGTTCAAAAATTTGTACATCTGTGAAAATAGTTTCTAATTATCTGAATAAATTGAGGGCCAATCGCAAAAACATGCTTTTTAATGACGTGAACGGTGTCAAATCTTACATGGAAGGAACAATCTTTTGGACCATCACTTGATGATTTGAGTGTGTGGGCGTTCCTAACCACAAAGGAGCGGTAATTTAGTCAAGATATCAAGACTGCTAAGAATGAAAAGAAATTATTACTATACAAACAATTTCATCAATTTTATATGAAAAAGGTAACAACGGGGGACAGAACACCTTAATATTGTATGAATGTCACTGATTTATACCTGTGCAATGTTTATTCAAGACATCGTGTGTTCTACAACCTGGTTTATCCGCAATCTTGAAAGCCATATAGCAGCTTATTAGATTAATGCACACTATTGTGCCTTCCATTCATGGAACGGTTGAAATATCAAGACATACTGATGTCATCAACACGAACAAGGTTATTTCGAAATATGTATTTAAAAGCGTTATGGAGCCCACGATCATTTTCTCTTTCTAACTTGTTTGTTATCCTTTTATTTACCTAGTACCAGCTCATCAGGGTAACATATGTTCCTCGTTTGTCTGTGCATTCCAATGTCATACAATGGCTAGTTGGCGTGTTGAAGTACTTAATACTTATATAACCATCCTCTGAATCATCAGAATCGACAGAAGAAGATGACAGCAATGATGAAGGCAATCGTTTATCTAGGTTACATGTTAAAAGAAAATCACTTTTGACAATGAGTAAGTGATGGCTGAGTGGGTGGTTTAACGTCCGCAGAGAAAGTATCGTTGCAATATCACAATGAGAGAAAGTCTGATAATTATGTTCTGGCGTCCAGCCATCCCACATTACAGTGAAGAAGATAAAAACATGACGGTATAAACCATAGTCCTCGGCCTTCCGCGAATTGAAGCTTGTAAATTTCTATTGACGCAGTTGCAGTCAGAAAACCCTTCATACATGAAACATAGTTATTTGAGAATTAGTGTTTTACCAATATGCTGGACAGTTCTTCCTCCTTTCTCTATTTTTTTCTGTTTTATCCTTTCATACATCAACCATTAGCATTTTAGGGAAACATGATCAAAGTATGTCTAGATTTATTTGTTATTACCTGAGCATTTGATAAGTAAATGTGATAAATTATTGAATTTAGAATCGTCTTCGGAATCCTCCTCTGGGTCATCTTCTTCATCCTCCTCAGAATCGGCAGAAGAAGGTAAGAGCAATGATGAAGGTAATGTCTGATGAATGTTCCATAAGCAACAACACGACAAATGTGTCATGGCATCCGTGTTACCACTGCATCTCATGAAATGTAGGTTATTCTTGTATGTGTTCACCCTATTAGATATCTATAAATGTCGCAGTCGTCACTGAATCATATACTGTAACAGTTACTTAGAATGCCTGACCCCACTCCTATGAATCATCAGAATCGACAGAAGAAAGCGAGAGCAACGATGAAGGTAATTGCCTCCAGTTGAGGCTCCACAGCACGAAGACCATTCTTCCACGAGTTTATCTTTTTTTGATGTCTTGAACTGTGATAGTTGTCATTATCCACATAATGGAAACAGTTTGCCATAAAAGAGTTGGGAGGACATAGAGAATTATAGATTCATAGATCAAAACAACCAATATTTCACTTATATTTGTTAAATCTGTTACCATTAGAATCTTCCTCTGAATCATCCTCTGGTTCCTCTTCCTCATCATCCTCGGAGTCAACAGAAGAAGTGAAGCGTGATACTGAAGGTAATCATGTAGTTAATGTTCAGGTTGAGAGGCGTGTTCTGTTGCTCATCTAGTGCTACTTGACAGGTTATATAAGAAAAATACAATCATCTAAATTGAAATGTTTGGAAAGACATGTCTTTGGTGTTCAAATGTATTGTACATCTGTGAAAGAAGTTTCTAATTATCTGAATAAATTGAGGACCAATCGCAAAAACATGCTTTTTAATGACGTGAACGGTGTCAAATCTTACATGGAAGGAACAATCTTTTGGACCATCACTTGATGATTTGAGTGTGGGGGCGTTCCTAACCACAAAGGAGAAGTAATTTAGTCAAGATATCAAGACTGCTAAGAATGAAAAAGAAATTATTACTATACAAACAATTTCATCAATTTTATATGAAAAAGGTAACAACGGGGGACAGAACACCTTAATATTGTATGAATGTCACGGATTTATACCTGTGCAATGTTTATTCAAGACATCGTGTGTTCTACAACCTGGCTTATCCGCAATCTTGAAAGCCATATAGCAGCTTATTAGATTAATACACTCTATTTTTTCTGTTTTATCCTTTCATGCATCAACCATTAGCATTTTAGGGAAACATGATCAAAGTATGTCTAGATTTATTTGTTATTACCTGAGCATTTGATAAGTAAATGTTATAAATTATTGAATTTAGAATCGTCTTCGGAATCCTCCTCTGGGTCATCTTCGTCGTCATCATCAGAATCGACAGAAGAAAGTGAGAGCAATGATGAAGGCAATCGTTTATCTAGGTTACATGTTAAAAGAAAAACACTTCTGACAATAAGTAAGTGATGGCTGAGTGGGTGGTTTAACGTCCGCAGAGAAAGTATCGTTGCAATATCACAATGAGAGAAAGTCTGATAATTATGTTCTGGCGTCTAGCCATCCCACATTACAGTGAAACAGATAAAAACATGACGGTATAAACCATAGTCCTCAGCCTTCCGCGAATTGAAGCTTGTAAATTTCTACTGACGCAGTTGCAGTCAGAAAACCCTTCATACGTGAAACATAGTTATTTGAGAATTAGTGTTTTACCAGTATGCTGGACAGTTCTTCCTCCTCTCTCTATTTTTTCTGTTTTATCCTTTCATGCATCAACCATTAGCATTTTAGGGAAACATGATCAAAGTATGTCTAGATTTATTTGTTATTACCTGAGCATTTGATAAGTAAATGTGATAAAATATTGAATTTAGTATCGTCTTCGGAATCCTCCTCTGGGTCATCTTCTTCATCCTCCTCAGAATCGACAGAAGAAGGTAAGAGCAATGATGAAGGTAATGTCTGATGAATGTTCCATAAGCAACAACACGACAAATGTGTCATAGCGTCCGTGTTACCACTGCATCTCATGAAATGTAGGTTATTCTTGCATGTGTTCACCCTATTAGATATATATAAATGTCGCAGTCGTCACTGAATCATATACTGTAACAGTTACTTAGAATGCCTGACCCCACTGCTATGAATCATCAGAATCGACAGAAGTAAGCCAGAGCAACGATAAAGGTAATTGCCTCCAGTTGAGGCTCCACAGCACGAAGACCATTCTTCCACGAGTTTATCTTTTTTAGATGTCTTGAACTGTGACAGTTGTCACTATCCACATAATGGAAACAGTTTGCCATAAAAGGTTTAGGAGGATAGGAGAATTATAGATTCATAGATCAAAACAACCAATATTTCACTTATATTTGTTAAATCTGTTACCATTAGAATCTTCCTCTGAATCATCCTCTGGTTCCTCTTCCTCATCATCCTCGGAGTCAACAGAAGAAGTGAAACGTGATACTGAAGGTAATCATGTAGTTAATGTTCAGGTTGAGAGGCGTGTTCTGTTGCTCATCTAGTGCTACTTGACAGGTTATATAAGAAAAATACAATCATCTAAACTATAAAAAATTTGGAAAGACATGTCTTTGGTGTTCAAAAATTTGTACATCTGTGAAAATAGTTTCTAATTATCTGAATAAATTGAGGGCCAATCGCAAAAACATGCTTTTTAATGACGTGAACGGTGTCAAATCTTACATGGAAGGAACAATCTTTTGAACCATCACTTGATTATTTGAGTGTGTGGGCGTTCCTAACCACAAAGGAGCGGTAATTTAGTCAAGATATCAAGACTGCTAAGAATGAAAAGAAATTATTACTATACAAACAATTTCATCAATTTTATATGAAAAAGGTAACAACGGGGGACGGAACACCTTAATATTGTATGAATGTCACGGATTTATACCTGTGCAATGTTTATTCAAGACATCGTGTGTTCTACAACCTGGTTAATCCGCAATCTTGAAAGCCATATAGCAGCTTATTAGATTAATGCACACTATTTTGCTTTCCGTTCATGGAACGGTTAAAATATCAAGACATACTGATGTCATCGACACTTTATAATCGAACAAGGTTATTTCGAAATATGTATCTAAAAGCGTTATGAACACCACGATCATTTTCTCTTTCTAACTTGTTTGTTATCCTTTTATTTACCTAGTACCAGCTCATCAGGGTAACATATGTTCTTCGTTTGTCTGTGCATTCCAATGTCATACAATGGCTAGTTGACGTGTTGAAGTACTTAATACTTATATAATCATCCTCTGAATCATCAGAATCGACAGAAGAAGATGACAGCAATGATGAAGGCAATCGTTTATCTAGGTTACATGTTAAAAGAAAATCACTTTTGACTTTATTTAAAGCCTGAGTGGAAGGTTTAACGTCCACTATGAAATTATCGTTACAATATCAAAATATTTTCAATCACCACTTTATTTGTGTGTGGCGCCGATCCTATCCATAAAGGTGCATTGACTAAGTAAAGATGATGAGAATGAAAAAAGGACATATTATCGTACGAACTCTTTCATCTCTTTTATCTGACAAAAGCAACTACAAGGGACAGAACACCTTAATTTTGTATGGATGTCACTGATCTATACCTGTGCGAATGTTAATTCAAGACATCGTGTGTTAACCTGGTTAATCCGCAATCGTGAAAGTCAAATAACAGCTTATTAGATTAATACACACTATTTTGTCTTCCATTCGTGCAACAGTTGAAATATCAAGAGATCCTGATGTCAACACTTTATAATCAAGCAAGGTTATTTCGAAATTCGTATTTAAAAGCGTTATGAAGCCCACGATCATTTTCTCTTTCTAGATTATTCTTGTATGTGTTCACTCTCTCAGATATCTACAAATGTCGCAGTCGTCACTGAATCATGTTCTGTAACAGTTACTTTGAATGACTTACCCCACTGCTATGTGATGGCTAGTTGACAGGATGACGTGCCTTAAATTTACAGAATCATCCTCTGAATCATCGGAATCGACAGAAGAAAGCGAGAGCAACGATGAGGGTAACTGAAAGTTTATTTAAAATCCTTTGTATTGTGAATAATGGCATGATGACATAAACCACTCCCTTTTTCATTAGGGAAAATATTCTACACGTGGCTATCTGACATGATAATGTGATTTATTTGAGAACCATCATCCGAATCTTCCGAATCGACTGAAGAAAGTAAGAGCAACGACGAAGGTAATCCTGTATTCAGGATTGATGTTAGAAATCGACTGTTTTCTTCATGAGTGAGAAGTGAATGTGATGTTTAATGCCCCTTTTGGGATTATTGTAACATTATTAGGGCGATGGAGAGAATGTCCAAATCTCTGTTAATTATCATACTACACAGAGAACGAAATACATCTTTATCACAATATGTACACCACGATTGACGGGCAAACATGTCAACTATGCAAGTCCTAGAATCTTGCTACCCTGGCATCTGTTCAGTGAGTGAGTGAGTGAGTTCGTATGGTTTGACGCCGCTTTTAGTAATATTCCAGCAATATCAGGGCGGAGAACACCAGAAATGGGCTTCATACATAGTACCCGTTTAGGGAATCGAACCCGTGACGAACAAACGCTTTAATCACAAGGCTAACCCAAGAATGGCTTAATAGCATCAACCACATGCATTTGACTTTCATTTTCACTTTCATCTAAACATCCTTTCTGTAAGTTTGTCAGGATGTCATATGCTCTACGTTTCTCTAGTTCCTGGACGCTATGTGGCCTTTAAACGTGGAAATATTATGTTTATTTTTAAGAATCATCATCGGAATCATCCGAGTCGACAGAAGAAAGTGAGAGCAGCGATGAAGGTAACCCTGTGTTAAAATCCTATGGTTTAGCCATTAAGAAGAAATGAGTGAGATGTTTATTGTTCCTGTCGGGCAAACGCCCACTAGTTTATTCAACTCACACCAAGCACCAACACCAACTACGGCATTCTTATATCAGGATAAATCATACAAATATACCATGTTTCGCTATTTTGAAATAGAACTATTGCAAGCATCAACCTACATATTTTGATAATGGTTATTTGAAATATTTTCGATCCACTTAACAAGGTTGTTATCCCTATTTTCTTGCATACTTTGTCCGCACTCAGTTTGTTAGCTTTTTGTTATATTCCCATTATATAATATAATCATTTGATTTGTGAAGGTTTCTTACTGATTTTAGAATCATCTTCTGAATCATCCTCTGGGTCATCTTCATCTTCGTCATCCTCCTCAGAATCCTCGGAAGAAAATGAGAACGAAGAAGGTAATCTTACGTTAATGGGTGCAGTAGAAAACACGACGAGAATGTGATAGCCTTGTGCTACATCTGCCTTTTGTAAAAGGACGACTCTACTTGTTTGAACGTATCTTGTCATGTGATGCTACCTGTGAAGGTCAGACTTGGTCCTCAGCAACCCATAGAAGGCGACTATGTTTGTCGTAAGAGCGACTAATGAGGTCGGGTGTTCACTGTTCAGGCTTGCTTACTTTATTGATGCATGTCATCGTATCCCAATAGCGTAGATTTATGCTCATGGTGTGAATCACTCGATTTTCTGGTCAAGACTTGATCATTTACAAACCGCCATTAAACAACAAACAAGCAAACACATGTTGCAGTTACCGACTATGATAGCTTTTACCAGGTAACTTTTAGGTAACGATCTATTGATCTATAAAATCAATTTATAATACACAATATTCATTAAGTTTATTAAATCATCAATTCTTCATATAAGCATCAAGATTGCTTTGAAATTACTGCGTTGTCAAATATATGGCCAGTTCAAGGTTTTGACATCTGCTAAGGAACATAAGAAAGTGCAACAATAACATAACGCCAGACAAAAAGAAAGAAAATACAAATTCTTCTCCCTTTCTACTGCAGCACACCCCTGAAGATCCGCGGTAGAATAGGTCTTCAGCAACCCATTCTTGCCGTAAAAGGCGACTATGCTTGTCGTAAAAGGCGACTAACGGGATTGGGTTGTCAGGCTCGCTGGATTATTTACAGACCGCCGTCATATAGCTGGAATATTGCCGAGTGCGGCGTAAAACAAGAAACAAACCAACCAATCTACTGCAGCATCTGGAAAACCAAAGTAATCTTGATATAATAAGATGATAAGTAGACGATGTAGTCACATTTTCAAACCGTGTTTAAAACAAGAACTATGATGAAATATAAAAATAATGTAGGAATATGGTATACTGGCATAGTAAACGGTGTAGTATGCTCGTGATAGATATAAAATATGTACCCCTGTATATGTAGTCAACAATATCCGTGAAGATCCGGGTTAAAATAAGTCTTCAGCAACCCATATTTGTACATAGAGGCGACTGACGAGATCGGGTGGTCAAGCTCGGTGACTTGGTTGATGCATGTCATCTTGTCCAAAATCCGTTTATTGATGCTCATGATGTCGATCACTGGATTCACTGGTCCACACTTGATTATTTACAGATCGCTGTTATATAGCTGGAATATTGTTGACAAACAAACATGAATCATCAATGTATGTCCAAGATGGAGTTTCTGGTCTCAAAATCAATTTCTTTTTCAGCGACATTTGCATAGAGGATGGAACACTGCTTGGAAACCTGCCTTTATCAACTGTGCAGAAATATCGACCGATAGCATTTCAATTGTATGTTTGATAGAATAAAAAGTTCGTGACAGAATGTGTCTTTGTGTAACATTATGTGACAATCTATGGCGTTTCAGTCAAGATTCCCAAACTTTTGAATAGGCAAAAACATGTTTGTCAGTTCCCAGAGAATAGTGGGAATCTTCTTTGAAAACATGCAGACGGTATACTCCATATACCGTGATCAAGGAAAAGTGGATCAATGACCGGATGTAATTGTGACAAGGACATAAATCGCTTGCCCTATGGCAGCCGTATAACTTTAAAATCGTGTCCTTCAGTAACCGTGTTTCAGTACTTTTACTTTGAAACCGCCCTGATGTTGTAAGCAACATTCCACTCCGTATGGGTACAGTGACACACCATAAGCCTAGTCACCCACCTTCCCTAATATGTGGATGTGTGCATGAGTACGTGCGTGCGCGGGCGTGTGTGTGTCCCGAATCTCATTCATGGAAAAAGATAAACCATCAGAATGATGATTCACACAAACAAATAGAATAAGGAGTAAAGGAGTCCTATTCTCTGCGAGATGGTTTAGAGAGAAGTTAATGTGAGAAGTGACAATGTTACAGGGGTGGGTGGGTGAATGCTTTTGCACAAAAACAATGTAACAAAGAATGCGGGCAATCGAAACTGAACCAGACAACTGATGGTTGGTCGTATTGGCAACGATACACACAATCGACACGTCACACAATCATGCAGGTCACATGAGTGCAGTTTTAATGTGTTTATGCTTTAATGTCATCTACATCAATGATCTGAAATCGTTCAATAATCATCAATAAGCATATTCCTTCCACTGAATTAAAGGAGATAAATGAGAACGTCTCGTCTTTTTTTCATATTTAGATCTATGCATACAGATTCTGAATGACAAAACACTCTCCACAAGACAAGACAAAGAGATGACTTCAACTTTCCAACAGTCAACTTTTCCTATATGTCGAACAATATTCCTGCAGCTCAATCCCTTGTCGCCTACATTTCACAACTTTTGAGATACAATCGAACATTTTCTTTCTTCCAAGATTTCAAAGAGCCTCGTACGACTCTTGCTCAAAAGTTGTTTAATCAAGGTTACAACATTCAAGGCCTCTGTAAATCTTTCAAAATGTTTAATGGTAGACATATAGACGACATTTCCAAATTTGACGCATCAGTGACAAAGATGATGTCATACGCCATTCCCTAGTTTGACTTGTAACATTTGTTCCCGTGTTTTTTTCAAGTGATCAATTCACCTGCCTTGCCTTTGCATGTGTTTGTGACGGGTGCCACTGGTGGGGACAGGATACGTTCACCTTTTCGCGAACACCTGGTATCACCACTATTTGAATGTGATTTATAAACACATGCTCATGATAAAGTCGGAATCGTACAATCGACTTGCTTTCGGCAGAAATTTCAGATGAATATGGAAATGGTTTGATAGCTTTTATTTTGAAGTTGACTGAGATTATAAAGAACTAGACAACAATAACTATCAGTGTTTACAAAATACAATATCATTCTTAATAACTTCCAACAACCAAAGAGACATGTGTGTAGTTTTACTTATCGAAATCTCGGATATCAATTCAATAATGAATGGATACTCTCCAATCGGCTAAACGTAGAAGGTAGTGCATTAAGTGAAGTAATTCTGAAACAACAGACTATTGGATCATGACAACAACATGCAGATAATACAACGTGGGGCCACTATCAAACAACCTGAAAATAATAACTGTTACTCCAAAACAGATGGTCATCTAACATGACCATGTGCGTGAGTAAGTATTGTTTTACGCCGCTTTAAGCAATATTCCAGAAATATCACGGGGGACACCAGCAATTGACTTCACCCAGGGTAGTATAAGTGAAAGAAATTCTGGTGCTTTCAAATAAAGAGAAAAGCCACAAAGTTCATTCCATAATCTTGTTTTTTGGTTTTGTTTGTTGCTTAGCGCCGCACTCAGCAATATCACAGCCATATGACGGCGGGCATTCCATAATCATAAGAAATCTCTGCGATTCCGACTATATCATAAGCATGTGTTCATGAATCACTGTCAAATAGTGAGGATAAAAGGTGTTCGCCAAAGGTGAGCGTATCCTGCCCCATTGGTGGCACCCGTCACAAACATACGCCAAGTAGTTATGCCAATGTGCAGATATAGACATTGTAATTATAAATCAAGGTCTTCATTTGATGGTCTGAATGCTCATTTTTGAACCACAGGGGCAGCAAAAACTCATGGCATGATTGTCTTGCTTTGCCACATCACCCCTTAATGTTTGGTTACCTTCGTCATGACCCTCATGTTCTTCTTTCGATTCTCTCGATCGAGATTATTGATAACATTTAAAGAATGGCCATCGTAAGGGATATGAAGAAATATAGAGAATAGGCACTGAGGATGATAACGATCCCAGTCGTGGATTCAAAAGCTAATCCTGAAAAAAATAACTGTTACTCCAAAACAGATGGTCATCTAACATGACCATGTGAGTGAGTAAGTATTGTTTTACGCCGCTTTAAGCAATATTCCAGAAATATCACGGGGGACACAAGCAATTGACTTCACCCACGGTAGTATAAGTGAAAGAAATTCTGGTGCTTCCAAATAAAGAGAAAGTCTTGAGCAGCTCCAATGTATCAGCCAAAACATTTCTCACCATAATTAATAATAACTATTGAGCTGATGGTGAAACTCGGAATCTTCAGTCCATCAAGATAACAAAGTCCCAGTTCAAGTAATATTCAGTCAACGCAAGAGAATAACCAATCTCGATTATCTGCCAAAACATTGGGCGAAGAAAGGCAAAATAGTGATGAAAAAGTATACAGTGGTGACACTATCGACTCTTAACCAGACAATCCAGTAAAACGATATCTCGTTTCAACTTTCAACGATATTGTTATTTTGAATTACGTCTGCTGCTTACACGTGAAGGGAATCTGCTGTGTCGATTGTGTCATCACTGATTTACAAAATAATATCACTAGATTATCTGGTCCAGACTCGATTGTTTACAGACAAATTGGCTACCGGTTCAGGCTACAGGCTACAGGCTACTGATAGAGTAGGGAATGCTTCCCCTTTTCGCGAACACTTGGTGTCATCACTTGGTCGATGTTTCTGCTGGTGGATTGAAGTCTCCGAGTGTCATCATAAGCTCAGTAGCATTTATCAATTATGCTGCGTCAGCGACAAAAGATATGTTTGGACCGATACATTAAAACCGTTCCCATTGTTTTGAAAAACGAACGTTTTTCCTTCACTGATAATTTGCAGAATCTCTGCACTTGTACACATCAGACGTAATTCGAAACTAACATATCGGTTTTATCTTTCAGCCAAATAGTTAGAGGAGAAACGCTATGTGCAGGCAACAAACACATACTTTTTGAAAGGTTTACTGAGGCCATGAATGTTGTAACGCTGATCAAACAGCGTTGGGGCAAGAGTCGTATGCTGCTCTTTGAATCTTTCGTAGAAAAAAAAGAGTATGCTTTACTGTACCTTACAAATTGTGAAAGTCACCTATCCAGCCATTGGACAAGGATGCAACTCAATCTTTCTATGAAGTCAGCACTTATTTTCGCAAGACTTAAGACAGGAGG